CCCCCCTCCCCCACAACAACAACAACAACAACAAGTAACCACCACAAACTAACCACCCACCCCCAACCCCCCCAGCGAACTCCCCTCCAACCTCGTCCTCAAAGCCCTAACCCCCACCCTCTGGCTGCCCCTCCTAACCGCCATCTGGGGCATCATCACCATGTGTCTGGGCTTCGTACGCAACTTCGCCAGCTTCTTCGCCGTGCGCGCCCTGCTAGGCCTTGCTGAGGGTGGGCTGTTGCCGGGTATTGTGCTGTATCTGTCGGGCATGTACACGCGGCGCGAGATTGCGGTGCGCATTGGTGTGTTTTATACGGCGGCTTCGTTGTCGGGGGCGTTTGGCGGGTTGTTGGCGAGGGGGTTGTCGGCTATTGGGCCGAGGGGGGGATTGGAGGGGTGGAGGTGGATTTTTGTTATTGAGGGGTTGCTTGTGAGTCTTTTTGCTTTCTCTCCTTTTCAGGGGGGTTTTGGCTTCCCTCTACGAAGACCAGCCTGCAAATGGGTTGATGAAGGGGGTAAACAAATGCTGACTAGATGTGATACAGACGGTTGTGTGCGCGGCTGCTGCGTACCTGCTGCTCCCGACGAGCGTGGCCACGGCATCATACCTAACCCCGGAGGAAAAGGACTTTGCGCTGCGCCGTCTGCAGGGACAGGTTGCGCACGCACCGGGAGCTGATCGGTTCAGGTGAGTTTCTGCGTCTGCCATAAAGGGAGGGAGGCCGAGCAAATGCTAATGTTGATGCTTTGCAGCCCTACCCGGGAACGTGAGGAGAAGTTCAGCTGGGGCGAAGTCCGCCGCGGTATTTTCAACGTTCAGGTGTGGCTCTCGTCTACGGCCTACTTTGCGATTCTCTCGGGGCTGTATAGTTTTGGTCTATTCGTAAGTTACCTGGGTTTGCACCGTGAATCTTGAGAGATACTAACGGAATGCCAGCTCCCCACGATTATCAATGACCTCCATATCACCTCGTCCGCGGACGAGACCCAACTCTGGTCCATCATCCCCTACGCCGTGGCCACCCCAATCACCGGTAAGCCCCCATCACCACGACCAGCCCCATACCCATACCCATACCCATACCCCCTACCCCCACACCCACCCATACATTTACACCTCTAACCCAACCTCACAGTCCTCGTCGCCCTCCTCTCCGACCGTCTCAACCTGCGCGGCACAGTAATGCTCGCCAGCCTGCCCATCGCCATCATCGGCTACGCCGTCATCGCCAATGTGCCGTCCGCCAACGTGCGCTTCGGCATGACCTGCCTGATGGCCATCGGCATGTATGCCAGCGTACCCTGCGTGCTGGTGTGGAATGCCAACAACTCGGCGGGGCATTACAAACGCGCGACGACGTCGGCGCTGCAGTTGGCTGTGGCGAATTGTGGTGGTTTCGTGGCTAGTGGGTTTTCCCCTTGTCTACTCTTCCCGGCGTTTTTTTAGGCTGGGTAAATAAGAAGTATGAGCTAACGAGGGTTATAGCGTTCATCTACCCCAAGGACGAAGGGCCGTTGTACCACAAGGGCCACACCGTTGTCCTCGGTCTGTTGGTGTATGCGTGGTTTGCGTACGTTTACCCTTTTACCCTAGTCCACCAACTCCCCACTAACACCCAACCACGTGCAGCATCCTGGCCAATGTTCTGTGGTGCTGGAAGATCAACAAGGACAAGGAGAGTGGGAAGTATGCGGAATTCGAAGACTGTGGTGATGATCGGGATCCGAGGTTCAAGATGGTTTTGTAAGGAGCGACGGAACAGTTGGAAAGGAAGGTGCTGTGCTTGAAGTTCTCGAAGTAATTGAACGGACCGAGTCGTGGTTATTGAACCAGACAAAAGCAGGTCTAACAAACTCACCGTCATCGTGGCATTGATGCACCCCGCCCCTGACTGACATCACAAAAAGTCCCGTCCCGTCCAACAAAATCTTAAAATGCCACAAAAATACTACTTAGACTCTTCATCGGTCAAGGCAAAAGTCGACACGAGCCGGATTTGAACCGACGCCTCCGAAGAGATGAGATTTCGAGTCTCACGCTTTAGACCACTCAGCCATCGTGCCTTGGACGAGAGAAACGGGCCGGATGTGGAGATCAAGGAGGTGCGGAGGTGCGGAGCTTCAGAGAGCGGAGGAGAGTTTTGCGATGCGACGTCGAAAGGGTAGGTCGGGTGGAGTTGAAGAGGGGTTTGGTGTGGGGGCGTGCGACGGAGTCTCGGGGGCAAAAAAAAAAAAAGAAAGACCAAAAAATTGGCCAGGCGAGAAAGGGATAATTTAGCAAAAGAGAAAGTTGATTCGATCCAGGCTCGAACTGGAGACCTTCAGTGTGTTAGACTGACGTGATAACCAACTACACCATCGAACCTTGCTTGTTGGAAATATTTTTCCAATTGTCGTCTTTTGTATGTGGAGGGCTTTCCTTACCGGCCACTTATCCCGGGGCGCGGAGAACGGCGGGCATTAACCTCCTTGATCCATTTGCAGTTTTTGAGCGGCCGTCTAGGGCCGGTGCAAACTGCAAAATGTACACGGCTGTGGAGTGAAAGCTTGGATTCACCGTCGCCGCCGTTGTCGCTCTGTCGTGCATCAAACCCGTATCGTAGTCACCCCAACTCCAAGCAAGCGATGTGAGAAAAGCCAAACACCTCTGCAACAAAGTAAGACGGGACCCCCAAGTATATCAATCTTTTGATCGTACCCCGACTTGACGTCATTCGATCACCGTAAAACTGACTATCAACCCAACCGGCCCGGGGTGGAGACCCGTCTCGGGGCCGGGCCGGGGCCCACGGTAGGCTCCACTTTACACGGAGTTCAGTGTAAGTCGATGTCCAGAGAAGTGAGCTAAGCCAATCAAGAGGTCTTGAGGGCGGTCGCGCTTTTACGGCCGCTGACCACCCCCTACCAGCAAAAAACTTGCTGACTTTCTGTCGTGCTCATGCCGCGGCCGCTGCAGGAGGCCGTGTTATCAGCGCCACATTCTGTCAGCGAAGGGTTATAGAAGGGGAAAGTATCCTTTGTGTGGCGACAGCGTCTGAAGTTGTTCTCTTCCCCTTGAGGCCCGTTATGGAGAGGGGGCCACGGGAAATACGGGGAAGGGAACCGAGGAGGGTCCTCCCGCTGGCACGGATGCGGCGGGTAAAATGCAACCATGAGAGAAGAAGATACCCCAAAAGAATTGCACACCCCCTGAAACGCTGCCTAAGTCGATCCGCGCATTTGATGTCCCGGCTACTTTAAATCAGCGCTCAGATCACACGGGGCTCCAGTTTGATGTTTCGTTTCTCGCGGGGTGCATCACGCTGTCCAGACCTCGTCGGCCGGTTTTCCTGTCATCCCATCTCACTTTAGAGTTTTTACGTGTCTCCTTCTTTTCGGTCGAGGCCAAGACTGCGGGGAATAGGTGAAGGTACGAACTGAGGTTTTCTGGAGAATGGGCAAAGTAACATGTTACACTTGACTCTTGAGCAGACCACAGATCTATTAATATGTCGTGTCTCGTTCCCTCAACACCTCCTTTCTGCTTCCTCACCCACCACTCACTTTACAATCATAGTACATAATCCTTAGGCTTCTAGCCATCAGATCTTCAGTCACTCCTTTCTAATCTTCAATCCTGGGCCGGTCCCTTCCACTCTCTTGTACATACGGGATTACATTGCACATACACATCTAATCAACACACTCACTACGACCCCACGACGACAACTTACCGTCACAACTTACCACTAGCCACTCCTTTCTACACAGCTTAAACCACCAACAACCGCCACAATGCACCCCATCTCGCTCATCACCCTCTTGACCGCCAGCGCCGTCTCGGTCTCGGCCTCCTCCGTCCCAGCCCACCGCCAGCGCCAGTCCAGCGTCAACCCCGAAGTCATCCCCAAGTCCTTCGGCGTCACCGCCGGCCAGGGCAAGGACACAGTCCAAGTAGGCAGCTGCATCGGCGCCAAGAACGCGCTGATCCCCTGCTACTGCCCGCCGGCGCCCAACAGCCCGGAGTTCTTGAACAAGCTCACGACCGCGCTCACCAACGGCTTCATCTTCAGCAAGGATCAGGTCGCGATGCCTATCACGCTGGACAAGTTCAATGATGGCTCGGACACCTCGGCTGATACCAACAAGCTCAGGGCTACGGCGATGATCCAGGTGCTGCAGAACTTTAACTTGACTACTAAGGGCGTTGGGTGCCCGGGTGTGTCGGTGCCGGTGCTGAACCAGATGCAGCAGACTGGTGTGATCGCGGCGCGTGGTGAGCCGGAGCAGCCTGGGGGTGACTTCTCTGAGAACGCTTAAGCGGGGGCGGGAGCTCTCTGTTTTACTCGAGGCTCGGGGGATGAATGAAAGGGTGGTATGAGTTCAGGCATTGCATTCTTTACATGTCGACTGCGATATCCTTGGACGCACACCACTTTCTCGGTACACAAACACATTCTTTTCGGCTTCACTGGGCAACACGAAACATACGCTAGGCACACAAACTCTCATTTACTCTTGGGTCATTCATCGTCCGGGTCAATCACTCGTTAATTTCCTTTGTTTCGTCGTCGTTCCTTACATGGGTCATTTTCAGTCATTCATTCAGTCTTGTTTTTCAGTCACTTGTTTCGTTCTCAACGACCAACTCCCGAGAACTTACTCTCATTTGCACATATTTCGCCAGTCACTCATTTAACGGGATCTACGACACTCGATTTTCAAGCTTAGTAGGGGACCACTCTTTCCTAAGCCCTCACGATCAGGTCTCTCATCCCTTGTTACGAATTTACGACATACATTCTTTTTGCACTTCAAACACCACACAGTCATTTCCGATCAACACACAGTCATTTCCGCAACAATTTGGGTCCTTCAGGGGATATTTACCAGGTCACACTCGTTCATAAGACACGCGTACACGAGCACACTTTCTTTAACGGCATGCATGGGTAATTGGTCAGGTTTTCACATTATCTACGCTCTTTACTTAGTTTCGGATAGAGGGGTATGGGATTGGATGGGGTTGGGGATTTGGTTTGAGGGATAGAGGCAGACAGATGTATCAGTACGGCAATTGTTATTGATTTTATTTATGCAACGCTGTGGATTGTGATGAATTGATCATGTTTACAAACCAAGCAAAGTCATTTTCTTTCCTTCTCTATTCGTGAGCCGCATTCCCCCTGCTTCGCTTTGGGTACTGACCATCCAGCAGTAAGACCTAACAGTGAGGTCATTAGTTCAAGAAATAGGGCGTAAATACCTTATTCTTCAATTTCAATATCTTGTACCAGTTTGAGGCAACATTTCATGTTAAATCCGACAACACAAAGACAAAGAACTCCACAAGGTTTTATCAAATTAAACCACACTCAATTATTACCCCCCTTCATAAACCTTTAGCCAAACTGTGACTATTGATTACACGACAGCGGTGACCTTACGGCCTTGACATGGAAATCGCAGCATGTCGCCCTGGGTACCGTTGACCACCGTATGGTCAGCACGATGGACTCTCTTCCATCACACCAAATAATAGGTAGTTACATACTCAATGCCCCTACTCAGCGCCCTAGGCACAGAAGGGGGTATCCGAAATACACATAGCTAACATAGCTATCTACTCCAACATCGCGTTCTTCAGATCGGTTTACACCCCCGCCACTCACTTTGACGGTCCACGGGTCGAAGCTGGCCGTAATATCGTGGTTCCAGTGCAGATTACCACAAGAAAGAGTACCTAATTATACTTGCACCTATGTCTAGAATCTCAGAAGGAACATTACTAGCCCTCAGGAACCAAGTGCGGACACCTTGTTAAACGATTTATGTACTGCCCTCTATATTCAACGCCCCGTCACCCGTATATAACACTACCAATCTCACCTCCTAGCTCTCACCAGCCCCCGTAGCCAATATGTACAAAACACCGCTTCCTCGGACTCTTCTCCACACAAATTACACACTCCACACATTATACACATTAATTACATCCCCCTTCCCCGTTCATACCCAGCCCCTTCATCACTAACACCTCAAGCTCACACTCACACCCGCTCAACAAACCTCCCCAAATCCACGATCCCCGCCCTCCTCCCCCTCCCGCTCCGCCTCCTCCTCTCGCGCGCCGCGGCACCCATCACCCCAGCATCAGTCGCATTCGTCGCGTTCATCCCACCCATTCCTCCTCCCGCACCAGCGGCAGCATTGTTTCCACCACCTCCACCACCACCACCACCGGTAAGAACAATCAAGATTTTATCTTTTCCCTTGCCCTTCCCCTTACCCTTTCCTTTTCCTTTTTTTCCTTTGCCCTTTCCTTTGCCTTTACCCTTTCCTCCACCACCACCACCTCCACCACCTCCTCCACCTCCACCATCATGAGGCGAAGGCGCAGCAACCACACCAGGAACAGACCAAGCCGCTACAGCAGCTGTAGCCAAGAATGAGAGGGCGCGCTGATTATACCCAAGCCAGAGCAGTGTTGATGTCGTTATTAGCTCCTTGTCCTTGTGTCTTTTGCTTGATAGGAGGTTGTTGTCGAAGAAGGAAAGATGATGGACTTACGGTGTTGGGTGCTGCTGCTGCTGCATTGGGGAGGCGGAAGTGCAAGGCGGTGGATGTGAAGGCGAAGAGGGCGGTTGTGAGGAGGGTTAGGAGGGATAGGGCGTGCATTTTGAGGATTTAGTTTTAGTGACTAAATATGTACAATGAAAGGTGGTATGAGCGGCACGGCCGCTGTGAAGGAATGTAAAGGGTTGGTCACTGCCAGAGGACCATCAACGTCGTTTGCTTAGCCAACAATTCAAGAAGAAAAGAATCATCAAATACATGGGCGACGCTGTTATATAAACCATACCGCCACACAGAGTATCTGTAGATTAAACACCAACATTCGATCAAACCCCCATCCCTTCAATCTCAACTCACTCTGCATCATCTACAAGTAGAAAAGCGAAAAGCAAACCCACATCTCCCCAACGTGGCAACAGCCCCCTAAATCCCCTAAATGAGACGGTGTCTCAACCCAACCCATGTTACCACGCCGCACGTGTGCCGACCCCCTAGATAACCCGATTGCCGAGCGGCACAACACCAGATGAACTGTAGAATTTTGCGAGTGTGTGTGTGCCAGTTAGGTATCGAATCTATGGAAGGGCCTAGACTTCTGGAGTCGGCCGGTTTAGGTGGCCCCCCAATCAGTGTTAACAAGTCATTGTGGCAAGAGGATTTACATTTGCGGGTGGGCTGACGTCGAATCAGCGGGATGTGCTGTCCGTTCTGCCGGGCCGTGAGGTCGCGGCCGGGTCAGCCTGGGGGGAGTGTGTGATTGCTGTGTGTGGATGTTGTTACATGTCAGCACATAGATCGGACTATTGGTTTTTAATTAATCAAGAGTCAAGGTAAATCCGAAAATTGAATTATTCTTGTTCGATTGATTGTGATGTAAAATAAGGAGTCGTTAGGTTGATGATTGATCAGGAAATATTTGTTATATTGATAGAAAGTGTAACTATGTGTGTCTGTTAAACCATCGCTGTCTTAATGTCCTTTGAAAAAGCTTGAAACCCCTGTTCCTATGCTATGCTTTTTTCCTGTTCCCAATCATCAGTCCCCATAAACTCAACGTAACTCAAAAAAAAAAAAAAAAACTTTCCATATCTAACCCCCTTTCTTAGTTCTAACCTCCCCCTTCCATAGATCAAACTCACCCACCCCTTCACTTCCAAGTCCAAGCAACCCCCCCATCCCCCACCCTCTTCACCCTCTCCCACCTTTCCCCATCCACCATGCCCTCCCCCCCATCCTTTTCTTGGCCATCATCCTCCTCCTCATCATCACCCTCCGACCACTGATCCCCCACCACCCTCCACACCCTCCCCTCTCTCTTACCACCCTTCATATCCACCCCTATAACATCTACCAGCCTCTTTTCCTTGTCCTTTATGTCCTTGTCCTGTTCATACCTTATCCCTAACCCTATCCCTGTCCCAGGTTCACCGTCACCTTTTGCTTCACTATCATCACCATCGCTAACGCGTTCCCGACCATCCCGCTGCCGAAACCAATCCTCCACTTGCTGTCTTCCCTGTCCCCTTCGCAATCCCGTCCCCGTCCCCAGTCCCCTTCCCAGTCCAGTCCTCTTACCCTTCCCCCGCGGCAGGACATCCCCCGCTTGCCCACGTCCCTGCCGTCGTGCCTCTGACGACGATGAAGCCACGCTGGGTTTAGGGTTAGGTTTATGGTTATGGATGGAATTAGGGTTAAGGCCAGGGATATGATCCAACACAGTCCCGTTATAGTACTGCTCAGCGTCCAGCACCGAGTTATGGTTATGATAGAAAGAAGCGAGGAGAGGGGCTGGTGAGAGTGGGGATGGTGAAGGGGGTCGTTGTAGGCTATCGAGAAGGGGCAGCCAAAAGCCAGAGGATGCCGCTGTTTTGGCGGTTTTGGTTGTGGCTATGGTTTTTGTGGCTGTGCCGGCCGTCGCGGTGGTCATGTTGCTGTCAGACTCGGCATCAGGTTCAGCATCGCGTTGGTAGCGTGATTTAGGCGGCGGCGTTGGGTTTTGACCTGCCCTTAGCTTCTCGAAATAGCTCCGGTAGATGGACCTGTGCGGTATCTTGGAGGGGTCATGATAGAAGGCTTGCTGGCTCTGCCGATGGGACTGGGACTGTCGGTGGGACGTGCGGTGGCCGTGGCGTGAGGATCGTCGGAGCTGGTGTTGGATCTGGGCTTTGGCGTCTGGTTGGGCGAGCAGGCGGAACAAGCCCTCGATGGAGGCCTGCGCCTTGAGACCGAATGTGGCGAGGGTCGTGTTGTCGGTGAGGTCTGGCTTGGACTCGAGACGGCGGAGGGCTTGGGCACGGTGGTTGGCGATGGTGGTGGGGGTGTTGCTGGGGCTGGTGTATTGGCCGTGCTTGGTGTGCTTGGAGTGTTTGCCGTGTTTATTGTCCCAGTCTGTATTATCCTTGTACGTCTTGTTCCGATCGGTCTTATACCCGTCGTGTTGTGCTTCCACCTCATCGTCGCTCAGCTCCAACGCTTCCAGATACGCCACAGTGGGAGGAATATATGCTTCAAATCGTAGAGCGGGCCGGGTCAGGGGCGAAATGGGCGATGGTAGAGGCGAAAGCGAGGGCACAGGCGAAGTCGACCGTGTCCCCTGCTCCAAGGTGGGTGTGCCTGGCGGTGGCCGAGGGAGTGGTTTCCACAGGTTGTAAGCACTGGTGTTATGTTTAACAACGAAGACGGTGTCGGCGCGGGTTGTTGAAGCTCCCGGGGCTAGAGGGATAGCAGGGCCCGGCAAGGTGAGCGGCTCGAGGCCTGTTGACCGGGAGATTGTACCCACAGCTGTCATGTAGGTGCTTTCCTTAGGAGGGCAAGGCAACGGCCGTCGTTCTGCCGCCGTCTTGGAACACTCCGCAATGGTTACGAGTGATGGCGGCCGCCGCTTGATCTCCTTGGTCTTTTCCATCCGCTCGATCCATTGTGTCTCCTCTCTATCCTTGTCGTTGTTGACCTCGGCCCCCTGAGCATCGTCTAGCACGGTATACCCCCCCTCCCTTTTCGCCCTGTCGAGATACTCCTTGCTGATCGCGATCCGAAGCTGCAACGCCTCCGACTCGCTCATCTTAGGTGGCGGGGCCTTCTTCGGCCCGGGCTTGAACTTGGCCTTGAGCTTTGAGATGGCCTTCCACATGTTGAATCCTTATCGAATAGCTGCTATAGATGTTAGGGGGTAAGTAATGGTGATATCGAAGTTGTGCGCGAGCCTGCGCGCGCGTGGGAGTCACGGACTACCCAATTGAAGAGGAATAGAAATGGTGAAGTGAAAAAAGAGGAGGCCATCGCGGAGTTAATGGCGCTTTATACCACGTGAACCCCAATTCCATCCGTTCTCTCGCCTCACTTTTTCTCGGTGTGTCATGCTAGTGATCACGTTGACCCGAAGCTCTTTGACCGGCCCTGGACAATACCTCACTTGAATGGGGAAAGAATAGCGTAATGCAGCATGCCAGCCGATGTTGAAGGGGGGATGACGCGTATGCATCCGATGTTAGGGTTCTTGTCGGTGAACTTGATAGGCGCCTGGTGGTGAGTAGTTTAGACGGCAGTGAAGGGTTCCGTGGTCCTTCATTTTCGATATTGTTGAACCCTATCAATAGACCGTCAAAGCGCTTTGAGGGGAGGAGTTGAAGGGAGTGGAACAACTTTGCCCCCCAGTGATCAAGCCAAGACCAAGAAGTCGCCATCAAGTGCAGCGTTGAAACTTCCCTTAAATATCCAAGATATGAGTGGAAATCGGCCATGTCTTTTGAACTAAGAAACCTATATACTGCGCCCCGCAGTTTACCTACTGCAGGACTAAAACCAGAAACCAGCGTGCCTAACACATACCCACCCGCGGGCGCATCCCCGGACCACACAGAATAAAGAAATGTCATGACGTCGTAACCCAGGTATCAAACATCTTCGTCAGATCATCGCTTTCATATCACCCTCCAGCGACCCACTAGCGTAAGCCCACCTTCAACGGGGCAGCTAGCCCTACTGCCTTCCTTCCCTCCCTGTTATATACCACCTCCTAACCGGATCAACTACCCTCAGACGTAAGCCCGGTGATGAGAGTGCGAGCTCCGACGGCTGCGATGCCCGCTGTGGCTCCGACGAGAATGGCTGTGCCCGCGGCTGTGGCTGCGACGGCGGGTCTCAACGTAGCGACGCTCAGTCTTAACGGCGTGGTCTCCGTGAATCCAAGCCAGGATGGCAGTAATGAAGAAGAAGACGACGTTCATGATGCCCAGCGCAAACGAAGCCTTTAACATGCTGCAGGTCTTGTTGACATTGACGTCGATGCCGCTCACGCGGCCGCTGAGGATGCCGAAGTCGAAATCGACGCTGGAGCCGGGGGAGATGGAGGCGCAGTCGGCGCGGGCGATGAAGCGCAGGTAGTAGACGCCGGCGATGAGGGCGCCGAAGAAGGCGAGGTCGATGAAGGCGACGAATTGGGCGTTGGCTGACGAGCGGTGGTAGCTGAAGAGCGTGAAGATGGCCCAGGCGAGCGCCAGGACAGACACAATGAACATGACCAGGATGTAGGTGGGTGTCATGACATTGGACTCGAGGTGGAGGTTGACAAACCACGCGAGCATGCCCATGATGGGGATCTGAGATTGTTAGATTGTGACACGGAAGGAGTGCCTGGCGCGAGCTGCGATTGAGAGCTTACCAAAGTGATGATCTCCATAAAGCGCCAAAAGGCGAAGAGGATTGCGAACATCATCTTGCCGGTCTTGACTATTTGCAGTTCAAAGATTGCCGGCTCAAGGTTGGTGTTTGGTGGTAGCGATTTGTAGCGGTGTCTGTAGCCTCTTAATTGCTCGACCGAGTTCGCGGGGAGGTTTTGGTTGAAGCGAATTGCGCGAGTTTGAGTGTGTTGCCAGGCGCCCGAATTTTAAAATCCGTAGTTGCCGTCAGCGGGATCCTGCTAGTCGGCACAGCAAGGAATTGCTTCGTCACTCCGCAAGATCTTTGTCTCGGGTTCCGATCCGTGCCGTTGCAGTTCCCAGGGTGTGTTTGTTATTGAATTCTCCCGGAAACTTCACCTCGGCCTTGCACCAATGCAATGCGGTCGGGTAAGGGAAAGGGCGGGCAGGTACGGTGACCTCGTCTGAAGTTGTTCGTGTCGGGTACCTGAAAGCTGGACCCTGTGAGGATACAACTGGCTCTGACGTCGGCGCCGATCGTTCTCTTCAAGGGCCGAGAGCCAGGGCAAGGATGCAGGGAAGTGGGGTTCTTTGCGCGTTGGCACAGGAACCAGCCCAAGGTCAGGTGAAGATACCTCCGACGGAGAGATGCAGAAATGCAGGTGGAAAAGGGGAAACAAAGCAGGTGAAGAAAATAAAAAATAAAAATCATTTTCAAAAATCTATTCGTCAAAGCAGCCTGTCCCAGAAACCGGATGGCTGGGCCGTTCTTTCCTAAAAGTTGGAAAAAGTGGCTGGAAATGGCTGGCTGGACCACTTGGGCAGCTCCCGCCAATCAACGACAAGAGTTTCGCCCAGAGCCGTTCCGGCCGGATGGTCGGTTTCTCCTCGAGACAAAGAGACGAGACCGAGCTGTGGCTTTCACGAATCACGGAACACGATCCTGAGTCCTGCTTTTGATCACACTCAGTGGTCTCCTTTCACTCGAGTAACCGACTTGCCGCGGCGTTTAGTGCCGGCCCGCGACGCGAGAAGACAACACTGACCAAGACAACACAGATGATCAGCCCTAGACAGGTCGCTGAGTTGGTTTCCCACGCAATAATCCGTCCGGCTTGAGCTTGCGATGCTGTCGGCAGCGCATCAACTTGTTTCCGTTGAGCTATTCCTGCAACACTCTGCTGCGGAGTGCTTCGAAAGAACAATGAATGACCTGAGGCAGACGAAGATAGCGAAGTCCAATGTTCGACCGAAATCTTCCGGAAAGCCGTGCTCCGGCTGCCGGCTGAAAAGTGGCGACCGGGGCCGGGGATCGGCAGCCAAGAACGACGGGGCCAGGACCGAAGCGTCACAGAGGCCGCTATTATGAAGCGGATTTCGTAAGAAGGGCCGTGGGAAGGGCCGACAACCCACCCTCCCTCGACGCCATGAGAAAATGGAACATGTTCAACTGGAATAAGCCTAAGGAAAAGTTAGCATATCAGTCGTCAACGTCTTCGCGCCCTAAAGAAGCGGTGGTCTGGATCGTCTACACGGTCAGGTACTACCGCATCAGGTACGATGGGAAGAAAAGAACGCCTGGGACGACGGCATGCTGCCCTCGGTTACCCGAGTTTGCCAACGGCACCTCATCGGCATACATCACTATGCTCAACAGCCCCACGGGATACACGACGACACCTACCCGGAGCTCAGTTACCACCGCGTCCTACCGCAAACGCCGTTGCTCCGGATCTAGTCGAGTTATCCGTACATACGGGCCAGGACGCAATCTAACGCGGCTGTACACCAGTCTGTGCCTTCCTTGGTATGGCGCCAGGTGTGATAATGTGTTGTCTCTTGAAGAGGGAGCGCAAGGGGAGCAGCGAAATCGATTACCCAATGTAAGGTGACCTGACTCTTTCAGGAATATACTCCTTTCACAGGCTCTTCGGTAAACTACACTGCAATCCCCCAATTTGAGTGAAGGGTATGAAGAAAGCGTCACTTGGGAGCTTGGAAACCCACTGCTGGCCGCCGAGGCTCGTATCGCCGGTCCCGGACCGATATCATCACCCGCTGGAGCTGCTGTGGATTCGGGGACCGCCAAGCCCCCAGCCCTGTAATCCACCAGAGCTTATCGGAACAGCTGCCCAAGCCAATGTTCGTTAGCGCTCGCTACCGTTAATAAAAGCGTTATCTCCCGCTGTATTGGTGTTGTCACTGAACTTCTGAGCTTATCTCGGATTTTACGCAGTTCTCATGTTCCACACACTCAACAACCAAATCTCAAACAAGCCGGAACCTCTACCTCGCCATCAGCAACACGTCCACTCAAGCAACCCACCGGCCGGCGACCTCCGACACTTCCCCAAATCCCCCAAGCTGTCCATTCCTCACCAGGCTCTCGGCGTCGTCCCCCCTCCCCTTTGCCCCCCACTCCCCTCACACACATCTCCAACTCCTACCTAGAAACAACCAGGTCGGGAAGCTCGGGCGAACGGGCCTCAGGGGAATGATCCACCCCCGGCCTTCGACGCTCTCCGAGGATGATCAGCCCCAATTGGGCTGTTCGCCTGGTTGCCACATGCTTGGGACTAGGGAACCGAAGAAACGTTCCTTTTTCCATGTGAGAATTGAAGCAGAATGAGAAGGACGGAGAGAAAAGTAAGGAAAGCCATTGATGTGCTCGGCTCTTCAATGCGCAAATCAATGTCTATGAGGTGAGAATCACACTTGCCATCGCACCACTGTATCGCATCGCGTCGCAAAGCAGTTGAACAACCAAACGCCCCGCCGACCCCCGGGATTTCGCGTAGCCTCACTATCGGAGAATTTACCGCGGACAAAGCCACGCGACGAAACAAACGCAACTCCCGCCCTGATCTCTCGGTAAACGTCCACTACAGTCCCGTTCCCACCAATGTAACCGATGAAACATCCCCGCTTGTTTGGCCTCTCTCGCCTCAACCAAGCAGCTATACGTGTAGTTCAGCTCTTTTCCTTTTCTGCCCCAATTCCTGAGACCGCAATGTTCGCGAACGAGCCCAGCTTGAGCCTGTGTGTGTGTGAGCGAAGTCGCAATGAACTCCCGAAAACGGCAACCTGCAACATGATCGTGGGGAAGGGTCCTCCAGCGCGGGGGCTCTTCTTCCAAAAGATTGGGGGGTAATGGAACCATGAACCCAGCACCTCCACTGCGATAGACGGGAGAGGCGTCTGACCTTTGCAGGTCTAAGGTTAACTAACCAAGCTAACAAATCCAAAGGGCGCAATCAGCAGCAATTACTTGCTTGATTCCCCTCTCTGAACAGAGCTGCGTATCAGAGAACCCGAGGGTCCCACATAACTATTCGCCTCCCGGGCCTCCTCCGTCTCGGAATCCTGCGAGGGTTCGATAGTTTCCGTCGTTTTTTTTTCTTGGGACCAACCAGGAAACAGCCGGTTGTCTACACTCCATCAATGGATGCCGCCGTGCGTTCTCAATTATCTCGCTGTATGTGAGTGTGTGGTGTGTAAGAGCATCAAAGAGGGTGTGTGAGAGCTCGAGATAAGACACTCCTCGGCCGTGGCCGCTTCCAGGGGCCCCTGCCGGTGGGCGCCGGGCTGCCGGGGACCCTGGGGGTTGCGCACGAGGGCCGGCCGGGAGCGTTGCGTTGCATCACCCGCATTGAGATGTTTGGAGAACTTGGTTGAGGATGTGAGTGGGCAATGAGACATGCCTAACTGTATTTAAATATGATCGGACGGTAACCAGTGTTTGTTCCTAGCTATTGCGTTGCGTTCCATCTCTTTTCTCAACGACGATTACTCTTTGTAGGACTACCCACCAACATCGCCGTCGACAACAACCTCCGGGTCCCATGTCCCGCCCCGTGTTCTCCAACCGACGACACCATTGCCACCCGCTGCCGCTGCTGATGCCGTGACGCAACCGGTGAAGTCAAGATAGCATAGAACAACAACAACCAACCATCCCAACAACAACACAACACAACACAACACAACCACCACAATGGACGAAGACCAAGGCCCCTCGGCCATCGTGCCCGGCGAAGGCCCCCATCGCACCCTCACCTCCCGCCTGCACACCCTCAAACGAACCTTCCTCACCCGCGACGGTCTCATCGGCGACTACGACTACGCCTTCCTCTTCCGTCCCAACCTCCCCTTCATGCGCACCGAGAACCGCGCCCCGCCCTTCTTCGGCCTCAACGACAAGATGCCCGTGGTCCTAGCCCTCGTCCTCGGCTTCCAACACGCCCTGGCCATGCTGGCCGGTATCATCACCCCGCCTATCATCATCGCTGGGGCCGGCGGGGTGAATCTGACGGCGGACCAGACGCAGTATTTGGTGTCGACGGCGTTGATTGTGTCTGGGCTGTTGTCTGCTGTGCAGATAACCCGGTTTCGCATCTTGAAGACGCCTTATTTCCTTGGTACGGGTCTGATCTCGGTCGTTGGTATCTCCTTCGCTATCATCCCTGTGGCGTCGGGCGCGTTCGCGCAGATGTACGCCAACGGGTTCTGTCCTTTGGCAGAGGACGGGACGAAGCTGCCGTGTCCCGATGCGTACGGGGCGTTGTTGGGGACTGCGGCGGTGTGTTCGCTGTTGGAGATTCTGATCTCGTTTGTCCCGCCCAAGGTGATACTCAAGGTGTTTCCACCGATCGTCACGGGCCCGACGGTGATGTTGATTGGGATTAATTTGATTGCGTCTGGGTTTAAGGACTGGGCTGGGGGGTCCGGGCCGTGTGGGGATGCGAACCCGGCTGAGTTCTTTGTGAAGTGTCCGAATGTTGCGGCGCCGCATGCGTTGCCGTGGGGGTCGGCGGAGTTTTTGGGTCTGGGGTTCTCGGTGTTTCTCGCTATTATTCTCTGCGAGAGATTTGGTTCCCCGATCATGAAGTCCGTCAGCGTCGTTATTGGTCTCCTGACGGGGTGTATCATCGCCGCGGCGTGTGGGTATTTCGACCGGTCTGGCATCGACAGCGCTCCTGCGGCGAGCTTCATCTGGGTGCATACTTTCAAACTGACCGTCTACGGGCCGCTTGTGTTACCGCTGTTAGCCGTGTACATCATCTGTGCCTGCGAGGCGATTGGGGATATCACGGCCACGTGTGATGTCTCGCGGTTGGAGGTCGAGGGGAAGGTGTATGAGACGCGGATTCAGGGTGGTGTGTTGGCGGACGGTGTGAATGGGCTGCTGGCTGCGCTGGCGACTATCACGCCTATGACGACGTTTGCGCAGAATAATGGTGTTATTGCCCTGACCCGGTGTGCGAACCGCACGGCTGGGTACTGCTGCTGGTATGTTTCTCTCTCTTTCTGTTATCTCTCTCCCTCTCCCTCTCTCCAGGACAGAAGACTGACACGTGAAAACAGCCTCTTCCTCATAATAGCCGGCATCTTCACCAAATTCGCCTCGGCCCTCGTCGCCATTCCCTCCGCCGTCCTCGGCGGCATGACCACCTTCCTCTTCACCTCCGTCGCCGTCTCCGGCCTGGCCATCATCGCCCGCGGCGTGGTCCCCTTCACCCGCCGCAGCCGCTTCATTCTCGCAGCCGGTCTGTCCCTAGGATACGGCGCGACGCTGGTGCCGACGTATTTCAGCCATGTTTTCACGTATTCCGGGGAGGACCGGGCGCTGCAGGGGTTTTTGGAGGCAATTGTGTTGGTTATGGAGACTGGGTTTGCGGTTACGGCGTTTGTGACGGTGGTGTTGAATTTGATGTTGCCGCAGGAGATTGGGGAGGATGATGTGGTTACGTTGGATGATGGGTTGGAGAGGGAACGGTCGAGGGGGGTAGGGGCTTCTGGAGTTGGAGCGGGTGTGGGTGTGAGTGGAAAGGAGGAGAGAGCGAGTGGGAGTGGCAGTGGGGGTGAGGGGAGTGAGTTGAAGGGAGAAAAGGCGGCGTGATGACGGTAGTAGATCGGGGAATGAGTTGTTGATTGTTGGTATGCTTGAACTTGGGAGGTCGTCTGGATACCCTATTTTGTTGTTACACATCGTATTTATGTCTCAAAACTGAATGGCGAATAACCGTGCTACTGTGTAACCACAATACCGTCCACTGCGTCTCGACATTCAAAGATCACCCAGGTTTGGCCAGACAACCTCAAAGTCTAATTACAGACTGTATTGGTTCGCATTACATTATTACTTGTTGCAGCCTCTACCATAGACATACCGTCCGTACAGAAGCGTCATGTACACATACCCCATTTACCCAAGACCCATAGCTGGCCATAGACCTCTTCGTCGTCATAATCGCCCCCGTCCATGACCCATCGGCAGACCAGCCCAACGCCATCTATCTATCTACCATACCTAACCCAACCACAACCCACTCATTCCCACCAGCCACCGAGGCCCGTCTCCCAGACACCTACGCCCACGCCTACGCAGCCGGCAACCCAAGCTTGTTGTTCGTCTTGCGCGTCATGACCTTAGTAATAGCATGACGGATCGTCACACCCGCCTTCTCGATATCCTTCTTCGACAGGCCCGACGTAATGCACACCTTAAGCGCGGGCGTGACCGTGTACAGGTTGGTCTTGAGGATGGCGTGCTGCGTGATGGGCATGGTCTTGAGACGCGTGATGAGCACGCCGTTGGCGAGGGTCTCGTCCACACACTCCTGGAACAACCGCTCCTGATCATCCACACTCAACCGCCGGGCATTAACAACCTCCGGCTTGAACGCCAAAATCATGATCGGGTTCTCCGGCGCGCTCGTGCACGCAACCCAGTCGCTGCGGGGGTCAAGCTGCGCGCGCATGAGTCGGATGTTCTCGCGGCACTGCACCAGAATCTCCGGGTTGCTCTGCAGCAGGTTGATGCACTCGCTAGCAGTGACTGCCAGCATGGCCGGCAGCGCGGCCGAAAAGGTGTACGCTGTCGACGACACCCGCTGGTGCTCGACGACGTCCTTGGCGCCCGCACAGAAACCGCCGCCCGCGCACAGAGGCCCGGATAGCGACCCGATGATCATGTCTACCTGTGAGGGGTCCACGTTCTGTGCTTCTGTCAGGCCCCGGCCGGTACGGCCTAGCACGCCGAAGGACCAGGTCTCGTCGAGCATTAGGCGGAACTTGTACTTTTCCTTGAGTTCGATCTGGGTGGACACCTCGCGTTAGTCTAGTTTCTTCATCTACTCGAGGGTACCACGTAGATAAGTCGCGGTAAAAAGCGACCATGGAAAAGCATCAAACCTACCAGCTTAGGCAAATTGTTGATATCCCCCGTGGTTTCGAACAGCGCCTCCGTAACAATAAACCGCCGAGTGAGCTTCTTGCCAGCCTGTTCCTGCACCACCTTGCGCATGACCTGCTCCAGCTCAGCCATATCCCCATGGTTGTACCACTTAACACTGCTACGCGAGATCTCCAGGCCGCGACGGATCGAGTAGTTGACGCCGCGGTCGGCCACGATGATGTCGCCGCGCTTACAGAACGAGGGGATCACGCTAGAGATGGTCGAGAAGGAGTGCGCGTACACGATGCACCCTTCGGTGCCCAGGTACGAGGCGATGTCGGCTTCCGTCTTCATGTGCACGTCCTGTGTGCCGTAGAACTGGGGCGGGCCGCAGGGGCCGACGCCGTAGGTGCGCAGGGTCTGGATGGCTTTTTCTTTGATCTGTTCGTTGGCGTTGAAGTTGTAGAAGTTGTACGAGGCGAGGTTGGTGACGGTCTTGCCGTTGGCGAGTTTCGATTTCGGGCCTGTCGGTCTAGATGTCCATCGTCAGTCCAATTCCCATTCCCATTCCCATGTCTCGTCTGTCATAGATCCTGCGATCTGGTGTTCCTTACCCAACAATCACAGGCAGCTTCTCCGCCTCAGCTTCCTGTTGAGCAGTCGGCGCCGCGACCAATGGCTCGGGAGTCCATTCCTCCACCAACTCGTCGATTTCCTATCAACCCAATCGTCAGTCCCATTCTTGGTATTCCCTTCCCTCCTCCCATCACTCGCTCATCTCCTCTTCGTCACGAATGCTTCCTATAACTCACATCCTCAGTCAATTTGACATAATTCTGCTTCGACGTCGAATAGCTCGGCGCAAGCAGGTACCGAATAAAGAAAATCACCAGCACCAGCTCGATGGCCGAGCGCACCGGGTCGTTCTGGTAACTCGAGCGGACGTAGCGGATCAGGACGGCCGAGCCGGGCACCTTTTGGAAGGTTGTTGAGGCTTCCTGGAGCCACGCATTCACGTGTGCCTGCGCCTCGGGCAGGTCCATTGTATCTATCTTCGGGAGTGTTTTTCGTGTGTGGGTGTGCCGGTGGGTGTGGATTGGTGATGGCTCGCCAGTTGTTGGTGTTTTGGGTCGATAACTTTCGAAGCGAAGAACGTTGATAAATTCGGCCTCGATCAAACCAAACCAGCGTTGCCGTCAATCTCAACCCCAAATAACAGACAACAAGAAGAAAAGGCAAGAAAAAAGCGTAACGTCAGTGGTAGTAAACCACGCCCAGATCAATCAATTCAACATCCGTTTTGCCAGCAGTCGCAAAAGAAAAATCCCAGGTCCACGTCCACGGCAGCTTCGGAGACGAGCAATTGGCAACGGGACCCCGTCGCGTTGCGTGTCGCCGACCGCAATTGGCTTGGGCCGCTGTTGCGTCGGGTCCACAAATTTTCCTCAGGGGAAAAGGGACGGCGCTCGGCACGCTAGGTAACGTCGGCTTGTGCTTGTCTTCTTGTGCCAAGGGCCGGGGTGGTCTTGGCATCGTTGGGCGGCCTCGCAATTTCTCGATCTTACAGTGGAGTGTCAGCAGGAAAATAGACAAGAGAGTCTAAATTATTTTCCTTTTCACATTCAAATCCAAGCATGGTCTCACAATTAACCCAGAAGTAAATGTTCAAAACTGGCTCTTACAACGGTGGCTATGGATATAGTTAGTTATTACCCATTTAAGTAAGGTTTAACAATGAATTAAATGTGTTTGTAGTGAATCTTCAGAATCTCATCCAGGGGCCATGCTTCAAGACAAATGATTCTGTTCAATGTTTAAGCCGAGGCTAAGTTGGGATCCTACAAATCTACCGCAGCCAGATTTCCCAAGACACAAACACAGACCCCAACCCCATGCCGGGCAGCTGAAGAATTGCTAAACAAAAGTTGATTTTAGGGATAATTAGACAAGGAACAGGAACAACCGGGTCACCAGCTAATGTCACAGAGAAACTCCGCTCAAGTTGAGTCGAAAGAAGACAGGGTTGAATATTGGATATGAACAGTGGACGAGAAGACGGACACCACATCCTACATATAATATTTACTTCGCGGGATACATTGTCAAAAGCGGCTCATGGAGGAGTAGCGGACGGCGAGGACACACATGCAATAGGTAGCGGTTGTGTACAGAGTCAAATACAATACAACAACAAACAGCCTTGATTTCTTCATGCGAACCCGCCCAGTTCCGTTGCCCAAAGAGGATGAAAAAAAAGGTAAGGGAAGAAAGGAAAAAACAACGAGAAATCAAAATGTAAAGTAACAAAAACCAGCGTCATCACGCTTGCGTAATGTATCCTCGTCCAGGCTGCAAAAAGCCTGCCCATTGGGCTTTGTCCGACCGGCCGGTGTATTAAACATTGTACAAAACCGCCCCTTCTATTCATTCCTGTCCTGCTTCATTCCCTTGCCCTTTCCCACCATGAATCACCACCGCCAAAAATAAGTGCCTAGAGGGCACAGGAAACAACACTGAGCCAAAAAGAAACACAAGCAGCTAAATAGCTGCCCTGGCTCATCCCCAATCTTCACCGCTCCCAAATACTTTTTAATGATTCTGCTTCACCCGCGTGTGGCGGTGGCGGTGGCGAACGCGCCTGTGGTTGGCGTCCAGATACCCGAGTAGTCCGGGCTGCCGGTACCCGTCGGAGTGCGACCGCGCGTGTCGTCGTTGCTTAGCCCCGTCGGCTGGACGAGGGCCTGGCCCCCCACATTGTCGATTGACTTGTAGAGCGACGACAGATCGATGTGACCGCCCGCAACCGAGGGACCGACAATCAGGACAAGGAAGATAACGAAGAGCACGAAGTAGAGAATGGCATAGCGGACGACACGTCTCCGCCGGAGCTTGGTCTGCTTCATCGAGTAGATCGGGGGGCGAATTTGACGGCTGAGCACTCAGTTAGCGGCTGTTTACAAGATGATTGGAGATAACAAAACACGGGAGACTCTAACATACCTAGGGCGAAGCCAGAAGAGCATGACGGAATGCAGCTTGTCCACCTGGGGGATCAAGATGACGGGCACCATCAAAAAGAGAATGATGTGGCCAAGGATGAAGTCGGCGGCAAACATGCACAGTTCAGTGATCTTGCACAGGTACTCACGAGCCGGCTGCGAGATCGAGTGCCAACCCATCGAGTACCATTTACCCGTCCAGAAGGCAATGTTGGACTGGTCCGTCTTGAACTCACGGGTGAGGGCCAGCGCGACAATGAGTTTGAGAAGGAAGCGCTGGAGAGCAACGACCGTAATCATACCAAGAAGTGTCCTGGAGAAGTCGAAACCTTCGAGCACATACAAGATCTCGAAGCAGACAAGGAGCATAATGACAGCAATGGCGTGGGCAATGGCGGCCAGCACAGAACCAAACTTCTTGCAGCACATGCTGAGGAGCGGGCCCATACAGCAGGCCATGGCGAAGAACATGGCTAGAGCCCCAGCGTTGACCGCGACAGGAGCAAAGGCGACGATCCCAATCCGAGCAAGCGCGCCAGTCGCGTGTGTCTTCCTGGGTGCGACACCGGTCTGGGCGTTGACGAACAGGTACGGGATCAGTGTGACTGCGACGAGACAGAGCGGGGAGAAGATCTCGGACCAGAAGACGTTGGCCATGGCGGCACGGGGTACGTCAGCGGAGCCCTTGCTGGACGGGTCGCCCAGAACCTTGCGCTTGTAACCGGTGATTCGGGTACGAGATAGACGGCAAAACGCGATCCACGACGACGCGTGTGAGCGCGAGTTACCGCGGGACAGCCAGCGGAGATAATCGCGGTAGTCAATGAAGAAGTCGTTCCAGGCAAACTGATGGGGGTTGTACAGGAACGGCGAGATAACCAGGGCCAACATCGAAACCCAGAAGTAGACCAAGGCCGCCTGCCAAATGGTGAGAGTCGCAAAGAGCAACATCATCAGCATGCGGGCGCCCAGGTAGATCGACGGGCCGGCGAATCGAGAGTAAAGCACACCGAACGGAATGCGGGCGGTGGCGAAACCACGGCCGGTACCGATGTAGCGCGCACCACCGAAGGTGATATCCTGCTGAACCGAGTTGGCGTAGATCTGGCAGACGAAGACTTCGAAGAAGGGCGAGAGCGAGAAGAACTGCTTGGCGAAACGGGTGAGGGCGCGCAGCAGACCACGCTCGGACAGCTCCTGGACGATAAGAGGGACGAACGAGATGAAGTAGACGAAGAAGATGGACAGAATACTGCGGTAGACCCAGTCCATGAGGGCATCGGTGTTCGCACAGCCGGTGGGGAACAGCTCATCAGTGATGGGCACCTCACGGTTGTATTCGCAGGGAATCGTCTCGCGGCGGAGCGCGCCAATCTGAAGCATGGAGATCATGAAGAGCTGAACTGAGAGCATGATAAACATGTTGTTGACGTGGAAACCGGGATGGGCGTAGTAGAACGAAAGGAAGCGGTCCAGGGGCAGCTGTGTTCCCAAGTAGTAGTATTCACGAGAGAGCATCTGCTCACCCATACCGGTACCAATCTTGGTTGTGAAGTTCAGAATCGAGCCGAAACCAAGATCACGACCCTTACCACACTGGTAGTACTCGCAGTGCTTGATGCGACCGCCGCGGAGGAGAGCGTTCATGCCGGCGTAGATATCCTCGTTCAGATGGAGGCCCTTTTGCGCTTTGGAGACACCACCGCGAGTCGTCATGAAGATACCGTTCAAGAAATCGGGGTGACCATAGTGGAGCTTGCCGCCAACCTGCGCAAGAGTTCTGGCGAAGAGAGTACCGAATGTCTGTTCCTTTCCGGCAGCGACATCACCAAGAATACCAATGTTTTCGGAGAAAATGTACTCGCGAGCACCGAGAATAGCAACCGGGGAGGTAGCGGTGGTCTTCACACCAGGCGTGTACGGAGAAACCTCGTCAGTGTGCATCTCCTCGAACTCGGCCAGGACACTGCGAATCTTGAGGCACTCCTCCAGGTAGTTGTCTTGGTTGGCGTCGATGAGCTGGATGTACTCGCCGCGGTAAAAGATGATCGAATGGTTCTGGTTGTCCGACTTGCCATCGCCGAGAATGGGGTTACCAGAAAGCTGAATGCGGAACTTGGGCCGGCGCATGCCGTTCTCCATGATCTCGGAGTGGCCATCGATGAGCGCAGAGTAGAGGCGAGGCTCCTCACCCTCCGCAACGGGCGGCTCCTCGTCAAGATACGCGATCTGCAAATCCGGGTAGGCGCGGAGGAGGAATTCGGCGTTCTCCATCTCCTCCTTCTTGAACTTGGAAAAGCGCTGCATGGAAACGACTAGCTTGAACTTGCGACGGGCCATGCGCTCCAGCTCACGCTCGAGCTTGTCCGAGTTGCCACCAAACATTTGCACAACCTCAGGGTTCTCAACGCGGTAAAGGAGCTTGATGGCACGACTGTAGTTCATGAAACCGGATATCGTGCGGTACAGCGTCTGGAAACGGAGCGAGGCCCAGATACGAGTCCGAAGGGTGTACTCGGGAGCCGAGGACTTGAAACCGATGCAGTAGAAGGGCAGATCGTCAATCTTGCTCTTGGCGGTGTCTTTCTCTTCTTTCTCCTCTTCGCCGTTGAACTGCGAGGTCTCGTCTGCAAGAATCTTGGTGTCCTTAACAAAGCAATCCCACTCGTGGGGGTGGAGCTGCTTCAGATACTCGAGAAGCGTGACACGCGAGTACGGCTCGTCCTCACGGATGATTTCCCTAAGCGACAGAAGGATCTTCTCGCTGTAGTGGGGAATCATGACGGTGAAGGTCGGCATGTTGTCGACCGGAAGGGGCTCGGGGATCGGCGTCGACAGGGACTGGGCAAAGAATGAAATTCTGCGCTCGGCCTCGCTGTAGCTAGGGAAATACTCGGTCTTGAAGGAATGGTCCTCTTGGGACACGAAGAAGGTCGGGGCGCGAAGCGTGCGCTTTCCTTCTTGCTCCGACGGAACCTGGTGATAGAGAAGCTTCTGGACGTGGTCGATGGCCAGCAAATGCTCGCGGTACATGGAGATGACGATGGCGTTCCAGACCTGCGAAATGAGGACCTTCGGCTTGTATTTGATCGCCATGTCGGTGGTGGCCAGAATTTTGGAGTACATGCGCTTCGGCAGGCGGGAAAAGACGTTCCTCCAAGGCGTCAAGATGGACGAGCCGAGGTAGAACGACCGGGCGATCGAGATGCAAGTATTCACGACGACGTACATCAGGTAGGTATCCAAGAAGAAGAAGATCAGATCGGTGAACACGATCAGCGCTAGGGTGATTTTGGGCTGATGTGGACAGAGATACCTCGCTAGAATCTTGTCGCCGATGCAGCTGCTTGTGTTGATCAAGAGCACATTCCGGATGGCGTCCTTGACGGAAAGCGTGAGGAAGGCGTACGACTCTCCAAACTTGAGACCGAAGATGACGGCCCACATGCCAAAGGAAAGAGCAATGTCGTTGCCCTTGAGACGGGGGTAGCTGGCAGTGAATGTCTGGCTGGCCACGTATCTCCTCGAGTTCTTGGTGAGGTAGCTCCCAAAAAGGCCACCGAGCGGCATGATGGAGAAGAAGAGAAACGTGATCAAACCCAAGAAGAACTGAACAATACCGAGGGCGAGCGAAACCTGGGTCTCCTGTCTGGCCAGGTATGCCTTCTTGTTCGTGGCTGGCATGAAGACGTAGACACCAGGCGCGGCGTTGAGGACAAGAACGAGAAGCAGGAAAAGCAGACGTTTGGTCAGATGCTGCGCACCGGCCCATCGACGCGGAACGTACAGCCACTCCGTCAGTGTTGCTAGGACCTGAATAAACGCTGCGATCGTACCACCGAAGCCCACGAAGGACCATTGCGCCGCCGCCGGAGGGGAGTTGTCGACCTGTTGTTCGTAGTCGAGCGTGATCAGGATCTTAGCGTTGTACGCAGTGTAGAACCAGAACATAGTCAGATGGAGAATCCAGATGCGGTTGAAGTTAACGAGCATGTGCAGCCAAGAACGGGTCTCCTTGTAGGTCTTAAAGAAGACCTTCTTCCACTCGACGTCCTTGAGCTTGAGATATCGCTCCGCGGGCGGCACATCAACAAGCTTGCTCTTGTCTTGCAAGACGATACGCTCGATGCCTTCAGGGTACCAGAAAAGCTGGTTGCAGTCGTCGTAGCCAATGATCTTGTTGTGGTCCCTTTCGCGGCGGACGTAGACGCCGTCAGAGATCTCGTATCCCTGGTCCCGGCAGTACTGGTAAAGCGGCGTGATGACGTTGTTGAGGAAGGTAAATTCCTCGACCGGCTCCACCATGTTCTGGCAAGCCGGTGAGTTCAGGTAGTCGTCTGCGCACTTGAAGATGAAACACAGACACTCGGGCATGAAGCGGACCTGGTTGGCCTCGCCCCAGCAGAGGAGGTAGAGGGCGATCTGGCGAACGCGGTCATGTTGCGACATGCGGTTCATCCGGGTCTTCCATCGAAATTCGGCGGCCTCGAGGGAGTCGTCACCTTCTAGGTCCTCCAGGGCGACGGGCTCATCCTCCGCGCCCTTCTTCTTCTTATTCTTCTTCTTCCCCTTCTTGTTCTTGACGTTGGCGAACCCAACCGCATCATCAAGGTCAAGGTGCGCGGCGAAGTACCATTTCCGGTAGTTTGCATTGTCGCCGCCGATATAATCAGCATGCAGCGAGAGAAGAGCTTGGTTCGGCGTCATACGCGACGCACGGGAGTCAAGCAGGATCATGAGATGATCATACATGTTCCTCATGCTGTCACGCTGGAATCCAAACTTGGCTGTGAGATCAAGGAAGATGTCCTCAATCTCCTCCTTGGAGAGGGGAATCTGGGCGTCGGACGTCCAGGCAGGGTATGGTTCCCGCGAACGCTGGCCGGCGGGGAGCACATTGCCGTAGTCCATCCCGTAGTTCGGTGTCGACGCACCGGATGAGCGGTTACCGCCGTACGAAATTTGGGAAGACGGGGGCCGGTATCCCCGCCCACCGCCCTGGCCGTCGTTGTAGCTATTGTACCGCTCATCGCCCCGACCATAGTAGTCCATCTCAGCCGCTCGGGCCATGTCGGAGCGCATCGTGAAGTCGCTGAACGTCTCGGAATCCTCCTCGGACCCGCCCCTGGGGGCCTGACCATGGTGCCCTTGGTCATAGTACCCATCATTTTGACCGTTGTTGTAGTAGTCGTCTTGGTACTGGTCATGATTGTCGTAATACCCGCCATCCTGGTGATAAGGGTTGTTGGGGTCCGCATTGTAGTACCCGCTGCGAGCATGTTAGTAAAACATAATGCGCGTCATGGAACGGAAGAAAGCATGGCTGTAACATACGACTCGTCATAGTAACCGTCGCCTTGTTGATGGCCACCATGGTTGTTGTGTCCGTTGTTGTCATAATATTGCTGGTCATCTTGATAGTACGAGTCTGTGTTGCCTTGATGGCCGTGGCCGTATCCGTCGTCGTAGTCGTGGTGGCCTTGGCCTCCCTGGCCTTGACCTTGGGGGTATCCCGACATATTGGGCGCTGAGTCTGAATTGAGGTCAGAGTTTGCAAATCTGAAAGAGGTACGGCCGGGCTCGCGATGTGGCTATGACAATCGCCCAAACCGCGCCGGGAGTCGCGCTACGTACCGGATCAAACAGTCATGAAAGGCTGTGCGAAGAAAGAGAACGACTAAGCAGAGGGAAAAAAAAGTAGGAGTCGAGGTGTTGCACGTGCGTGCAGATCGGCCTGGTGCAGAAATTGAACCGGAGCGCAACCAGCCACAGCACGAAAATATGGGCAAGGTCGCGTCCGACTGTTGGTTGCTGAAGAGCAGTTGTCTTGTGTGGAGGCGGCGGTGTTGATGCACAACACACACAAGCTCGACGATTGGCGGCACGGTGGGGCGCAGAAGCAGGCTGCTTTCTTTGTTGGCTCAGGGATGGCTTTTGAAGACGGGCCCAAGAGCAGCTCGCGGTCGGGTGAAAGAGTCGAGAGGCCCCGTGCACAACCCTAGAACAGAATGAAAAGGCGGACTGATCCACGCGAGTGCTTGCCAGCTCCCCTTTAGTATTAGCGATCGATGTCGATTCTTGTCGGTCAGGACTCAGGTCCTGAATTTTCTGCCGCCCTCGGGTCTTGATTGTCGGATCGCAAGGGTGTGCAGAACCGAACGAGTGGCTGGCGATTAGCGGCACAGAGGTCGGTTTCTAGCGCCACTGTACGCCCAGAGGAACTCCTTTGCAAGCAGAACCCCCAAAAAAGAGAGATGGGAGAAGGGTAGGAGGATGTTCGAGCGAGCGTGGGTAGGGGAAGGAAAGAAGGAGAAAGACTCTGGCTCAGCAAAACGTTCGAAGGGGGCAGGAGCAAGGAGAAATGGAGTGAGCGAAAAAGGAGGTATTCCATTCCTGGATTGGCCGCGTTTCGCCCTGACAGTGAGGCAGGCTTGCACGGGGGCGGCTCGACAAGGATTATGGCCGTCCTCCCAGGGGTTCAGAGGGGATGAGGGAGGCACGGTGTCGAACCATTCCTACCTGCACTGTGCCTAGGAAAGGAATCTCGTCATTCTCCTTCCTGCTCCGTACGCAGTGTATGTACATAAACACCCTTGATGGTCGTACCAGAGAGTAGTTATAAAACTACAACGTGGATAGATGGCAATAAGGCGTTGTTAACTTGATCGTCTCTTCTGCTCTTCCTTTCTTTTACATTTCACTAGCTTGGCTTAAGGTGCTCGCACACTGGCAGTTATCGGTGGCGCGAAGACGCCCACAGTGCCCTCTTCGCAAAAGCACATCTGCCTTCAGGGGCTACCTCCGCGGCTCGCCACTCTGGATTTTCGCTGCCGCCCTCTGGATCGAATGTTTTTTGCAGGCCAGGCAATTGGAGCTTGGCAGCTGCGGGAGGCTGCAGGACCCGCTGGCTATCCCCAAGGCAAGGCGCTACCCATCGGGACTTCCGTTCGACTGAGGCCGCGATCGAAGGCATGGTGACGAAGCGACTCGACGTCCAATCATGGGGTCAGGAGCTGGAGCAAGCAGCTGTGCTGGCGGTCTGGAACGGAGTGTCAAGCCGAGATTGTGGTGCCTCAAATCTGAATGCTCCGCCACAACCCCCACCCCTGTTCCCCTGAATCCAAGCGACGGAAGTTTCGACTGGGTACCCCCTGCCCTTGTCCAAGAAATCGTGGCTCGCCCCCCAAGACCACCAGAGCTTGATTCTCGATGAATGATGACGACAGCAGTCATTCGAGAAACAGGGAAGCCATGAGCCGCCTTTCTGAGCCGGCGTTGAGTGCAGACACACAGCGAACTTCTCACTGAATTATTGATTGACAGGAAAGGGGTAACCATGAGGGCAATGCAGTTCTGCGGTCGCAGGCGGTGGTATCCGTATCGCCTTCAGAGGTTGCTTGCACCAGGTCCTGCGGAACCTCGGACACGAGCATAGTCCGTTGCACCGCCACCAGAGACACAATAGCGCATCTTTACCACGAGCGAAACCTACAGTAACACGAGAAGGCTTTCAATTCCGAGAAAATTGTGGTTTTTTCCCCCGAGATAGAGGACAAGTTATCTCTTGAAGACCTCGTCCACAAAAACGTCAAAACTCCCGGTCCATCCGAACACAGTGCGCTTGCGGACGGTGCGTTTCTTTTTGGCCCTGCCTCCTCTCCAGGCGTCATCGGTACGCGCCGCCAAAAAAAAATCTTGGTGCCCCTGAATTTGGTTCCAGAATCAATCGAGATTGACCCGCAATCTATTTCCAGCGCTTGAACACGCATGCGCTCTGGATTTTCCGGTTTGCCGCGCCGTTGCCCATGACTTATTAGTTCCTCAGCGGCACAACGGCTGGCTGCTACCCAACCTTCCTCATAGTTGGATACTACATATCCGTAGTATGCCAGGTATTGAGCATTTTGGCATTTGCTCGTGCCTGTTCTACGTTATGCACTACAAGACTCGACGATGACCTGTTTTTAATCTCCGATGACCTGCTCTTGGCCTCTAAAAGATACAGACAATAACGTCAGAGGGGAAGACACCACTTAATGCAGAGGGTTCTTCACGGATAAGTTGGTGGCGCACCAGTTCAATCATGGGTAGGCGGAGGGGAAATCATGACTACTGTCTTCACTTTTAGATTCTTATCGCTCTTCTGAGAATTCTGCTGTTTCGGCTCTTGAATCAGAACTGCCAGTGAAAAGGATTCCTCCCAACCCCCCTGACTATCTCGGAGCGGCGAAGGATTGAGTTGTCCCACATGCACGCATGCTCGAGGATTCCGCAGCGTACCTGCATACCGGTTGATCTTGCGAGGTTTCTTCTCCACTTCATCTGCATGCATGAATGGGGACCGAACAGCCAATATCAGGGAGGCGAACTCTAGCGAGGGTGAGACGAGAATACTGTGTAAGCAGATGACTAAAGACACAATTGAAAACCGGACTTTAGGAGAGGGCTGCAATGAAGCAGCGAAAATGAAATCGGGCGGGATATGCAAGAATTACGGGTTGGGCTTGAGATGATCTACACGAACGTTATCTGGGCTCAAAAAATACACTACTTTAAGTTAAGGATTGAGATAACTAACGTAACCAAAAACCGTCCCGATCGATGAGACAGGAGAGATCACATCGAAAGCTCCGAGAAGCCCTGCGGAGCTGAGTTTCTTGAGTGTTCCAGGCGTTCCCATGGAGCCACGTCGCAGTGTCTCAACTGTGTCAAACCTGACTCGCTGAGAGGAAAATCACCAACGCTGCTCCCGCTGTTCTTGTCCCGATTCTTGGAAATCGGGTCGGGATGGCGTGGGTTGGTGGAGAGATCAACGGAATTGAGACGGTTCCGAAAGGAGAGGGATCATGAGTGTCAAACGGCATCCATGAAGTGCTGAGTGAAGAATGTGGGTAGGCCCTGGAGCGGCACGTGAGCGGTTGCATCTCCAACCCTAACCCTGACCATACGCTTTTTTCGGCAGCAGTGGGGAACGCCCAAGCGGTTGCCCTTGGCAACCCAATACACATGGACATCTTGACGGATCGTGAAAGAGGCTCGCCCTGCAAATCGAGTCTCACTCTCCAAGATGCAACGAAGAATCATTAGATAAACCGACCGTTATTTTACACGACTACGCCACTTCCAGGCGTACCAACCACCGTTAGTTCTCAAAATGGTCCGATCAAGAAGACCCTTGATGGCCATGAGCGATGATGAGGAATTCGAAGATATCGATGTCCCGGCCCGAACTAGAAAACCGCGGACCCAGGATGATGCACCCAAACGCCGCCTCAAAGAACGCCACCAGTCAGATTCCGGCGAGAATATCATACCGCCGTCCACGGTGCGGAGGAGAAAATTGGGAGCGCTGACAGACAATTTATTGTTGCAGGCGTGGACACCGAGGAATGCGGGGGAAGAGTGGGAGACGGAAAGTTTACCACCACGCACGAATACAGACACCAGACCGCGACGGACGAGGGTCGAGCTGAGGACAAGGACTACAAAGCCGGCTGTCACACTTCCTTCATCGCCACTCGATAAGGACGAGGAGTTTGTGTCGGCGAAGGAGGAGGTGACCATAATCGAGGATGTCTCTTTGTTTGACGATACGTTTCACTCGTGCAACTCGGAGGGGCCCGAATTTGGCAGCAGCACTGAGAAGGAGGAGGAAGCGGAGGACGACGAAGAAGATGAGCCCGAGGATGACGATGATGACTTTGTACCGGATTCCCCGCCCAGGAACGCAGCAAAACCCAAGGTTCGAGGTTTAGGGAAACGGCAGCCAAAACCTTCGAGTGTGGATATTTTTGGTGACGATAGTTTGGACGATGAGAGCGAAGATGACGAAGATGACGAACCGTATATCCGATCATCAAAGACGAGAGCTTTACGACGTCAAAACACTCAATCAAGACCCGAGTTGCGGGTAAAAGGGGAGGCGGCTCTCGCTGATTCCATGTCAAAACTGCGGTTGTAAGTGAACCTTGCAACTTGTGTGAATTTCTCACGTTCCGACCATAAAACGACTTGCTCGCAGCTTCCTAACTGAATCTACCAGAGACGGGACCGAAGATATTCCAAAGAAAACTTCAACTTTGCAACCAACCAGTGACCTCGATACCACGCCCCCTTCAACACCTCCCAAACCAAAATCTCAACCCGGCTTGCTATCGCCACAAAAACTTCCACGAATTCCCAATACACCCCATCATCACACCTCCGAAATGTTTTGGAGCCAGGAATTTGTTGATGACTGGAACGACGAGCACTCTCCCCGGAAGCAGCTCTTCCCCGATGCCATGGCTGCCCGGCGAGCGAATCCGGTCAAGGCAAACCCGGAAAAGAAATCAGGGAAGGCGGCAGAGGCAGCAAAGAAGTCGTCTGAACGCGAGACCAAGAGAGCCTTTGAAAAGGCGAAACATGAAATGGCCGCGACGTTTCTCCAAGAACTCGATACAACCATCACCGAAGGGAAACTCACCAAACTAGCCGCCTCAACCGGAGGTATCCAGCTGATCTGGACCAACAAACTCAACACCACCGCGGGGCGTGCCAACTGGAAGCGCGAAACCATCTACACCCGCGCAGCGGATGGCAGTTCCGCCACAACCACAAAGTACCACCATCACGCCTCCATCGAACTCGCCGAGAAGGTCATCAACGATCCGCACCGCTTGCTCAACGTTCTCGCCCACGAGTTCTGCCACCTCGCCAACTTTATGGTTAGCGGTGTGACCAACAACCCGCACGGGCGCGAGTTCAAGGCATGGGCAGCACAGTGCTCGCGACATTTTGGAGACCGTGGCGTGCAAGTCACCACCAAGCACTCATACGACATCGACTTCAAATATGTCTGGACATGTACGGCGTGTGCAACCGAATTCAAGCGCCATTCGCGCAGTATTGATCCCGCCCGGCATCGGTGCGGGAGCTGTAAGAGTGCGCTGGTGCAGACGAAGCCTGTGCCGAGGAAGAGCGGTGGTGGGAAGAAAGACGGAGGCGGTGGGGATGGGAAGGAAAGTGGGACGGAGAAGGTGAAGGTAGTCAGTGAGTGGCAGGCGTTTGTGAAGGAGCAGATGCGAGTGGTGAAGGCGGAGAACCCGAAGAGTCCGCAGAAGGAGATCATGAAAATCGTGGCGAGTCGGTGGGCAGTCAAGAAAAGTGAGGCAGCTGCAGCTAAAGCAGCGTCGGGCTCGTTGGCTTCGCCTGATCGGAAACTAGAAGATGTGGAAGGGGGGATGGGAGAACTTTCGGTTTAAGAAGGGCGTGGGCACAGCGAGAAGAGCATTAAACTGCATCAAGCATCGGGAAGCATCACAGGCGTTTGTAAAAACATATAGCACTTGGCATCATTCATCATTTCGTATTGAGCTTGGAATCAAGCAGCCATCATCTCGATCCTGAGCCGGTCATAATCCACCCACCACCATCTTGGTACCCGGACTGATACAACATAAAAGAGATAACGAGATACAGAGAAACATAACCACCCTTACATCATGTTCTACCCTGCCTAACCGCCACATCACCGCCTAGGCTCATCGTCCCTGGGACCAAACAACCCCCAATCTTCAATGCGGAACGACGACCAAATGCGCGCGGCGAATTCCACCGCATCGCCAATCAGCGCTCCCTGCTTGCCCAGTGCCAGGTCAACCTCCTCTTCATCATACTCGCCCTTGATGTGCGGCACGTTGATGGTGATCAGGATGTCTGTCTTTTCCTTCTCCAGGCGCAGCAGCGTAAGGATCAGCGCGGTGAAGTCGGGCGCGGTGCCTTTCGACGAGGACGACTCGTTCCCTTGGGGAGTTTGCGTCGCGATCAGTGTGTAGGCGGGGGTGTCGGTCTCACTTGAAGGGGGAGGAGTACGGTTAGTGGCTTCAGTCTAGCACGGCTGAAGGCACCCAAGTATGTATCTTTTAAGGCACACCATTGTGGGAGACGGGGACATACGAAACATGGCTGAACTCGGTCTCGCTCGTGTTCCAGACCTTGACCGACTCGGCGGCTTCGCCAACCAGGTCCTCGAGGTGAGTTGTCAGAGCAAGGCCGTCACGCTCCAGACCCTCGCCGGGGGCGTGAACGCGCTCGGTGATGTCGAAAATGATGGAGGTGAAGCCCTCCTTGTCAAGGTACACTTCCTGGTTGTTGGGTACCTCTCGAATTAGACTGTGGAAAGGGGAGGTAAACGTCAGCATATATTCGCCGGCTCATAGTATGCGCGAGGTATCGACCCCGCTGTCACTCCCGACAACAGAGACACGGGCGGAGCGCAACGTACCTCACGTCGACAAACTGCTCGGGGATGTCGCAGACGAGGGCCCCACCAAAAAGGCGCGTCTTCTTGAACCCAGGCATGATTTCGAGTTGCAAAGGCTTGCTTAAACTAAACTGCGATCGAAAATTCCGTTTGCTTTGTTTGAGAGAAATATTAAAGTCGAGTTTCCTAGCAAAGTTGACAGAGGCGTAGCTTGTCTCGGGTGCAAGTTGGTTTGCGACTAGGGCCGGGCTGTGACATCAACTTGGAAGCGGCACGGCGGGGCCCGGCATCCATGGCGGGGTTGCGCGGAAGGGGGGTCATCACAAGGCTGATGATCGGAGCTGACCCGTGGAGCTTGGCTTTCAAAGGAACAGGCGCCCGGTCACAAGGCTGACTCGAGGTTGGACAGAAGTGTACAGAGACCGCAGTAACTGATTCCCGAGTGAAGATCTTGATCGCATAACGGGATATCAATCCAAGTTGCGTGTTAGGTACCTATTTGCCCGGATGTAGGTTCGGGATTCGGGAACATGGAAAGCCCACAAATGCCAACCGGCCCGGGGACAGTCAAGCACTAACAAACAATTTAGGGGCTCCGGCTACTGAAAGCCAGGGGCTTGTTCGGCGGTTACCCCGCTCTCAAGCTACCCCCCATCCGAACTGCGCTGAGAGAGCGGAAGTCAAGTTCCAATCAGATATTTATTCACGACGTCACCGGTCTATCGCGAAGTCTAACTTCCTCTGATTCTTCTTACCACGGAGCCTTCGTAAACTTGAAGCTTATGGCAAGTAAAATGGCCGCATGCATCTTTTGCAAGATCATTAAGGGCAGGTTTCCCAATCTTAATCCGCGGGGCTCGTCTTCGAACTTTTAACGCTTGAAGCTTTTGGGCTTCAAGTCGATTCTCAATGGAACCTTGAAGTTAACTAACCTTTGATCTCTCAGGTGAAATCCCTAGCTTCAAGCTCGTGGAAACCGATAAGACCCTCGCCTTCCTTGATATCAATCCGCTCAGCCGGGGACATGCTGTTTGTCTCATCCCTTTTATAAACCCTTCATCGAGTGGCAAACCAGGAAATTGACGTTGAATACCGCCTGCTATAGCTCATCATCCCCAAGTTCCACGGCGCGAAGCTCGCCGACATTCCCGACGAGCATCTGGCCGACATTTTGGTATGTATTCCCTAACAGGTGTATCAACATTACCCGACATGTGTATGGTTCCGCTGGGGTGACTTTATGTCGACTAATCGTTTTACTAGCCCATCGCTAAGAAGCTGGTGAAAGCCACTGGCGCCGAAGAATACAACATTCTCCAAAACAACGGGCGCGGCGCACACCAGCTGGTAGACCACGTAAGTAGAACCCATTCAAGGGTTTAATAATGACATGAAAGGGGAATTGTTCCTTTCGTAAAACATTGAAAGACTGTTGCTAACTACCGGCTAACCTGATCTCTAGGTTCACTTCCACGTGGTATGACACCCCCCCTCTTTTCCCTGGAGCATTATACTTCCTATCCAAAATTAGGGCATGACGGCGAGTAACCAAGTAGCTGACCATATAACTCATCGTAGATTCCGAAGCCGAATGAAAAAGAGGGTCTTGGAATCAGCTGGCCGCAGCAACCGACGGATATGGACAAGCTTAAGGCGTTGTTTGAGGACCTCAAATCTAAGGTGTAAACAATGTCCGATAAGGAATGGGTTGTTCTTGATAAGTCAAAAGGTTGACAAAAGCAGAGTCGCAAATGATCAATACCATCTTTGAAGACTGATTTGAAATGCATCCAAATTTGCCGTGAGATGGTATCGAGACTATAATAACTGAGCGGTCTATTTACCTCACCCCCCCCCCCCCTCCTTGCTTGTACACGGTTCCCCTTTTAATCCACATCATCATCATTCGTGGTATCCACGGCCGGAGGAACCGTTGCTTCAGCTGGCGCCGCAGTTGTTGTATCGGCCGCAACAGGAACCTCCTCCTTCTTCTCCTCAGCTGCCTTCGTCTCCGGATACCAGTTCAACTTCCCGCCCGGCAACAACAGCCCCGTGCGGTCGTAATACGACCGCGCGCGAAGGTATGGGTCAATATTCCAGTAATCCACCCGCAGCTTCTCCGCGAGCTCAGTCCGCTTCGCCTTGATCTCTTCCGCGGCTGTCCCCTTGGCATCACTTCCCGCAACAGCGCCGGCTCCGGCAAGGCGAATCCACTCGGCTGTGGCTTCCTCATATGCCTTGTACAACTCTCCACGCGCCGCCAGTAGGCGGTCGCGCGTCTCGATGTCGGCCAGTTTCGCGTTCTCGCCCTCGACGGGTTCGACGTATTCGTAGGTCCAGTCCTCTTCGCCGTCGAGGTCCTTGGGGATGTGTTTGATGGCGATGAACTCTTCCATTTCTTTGGCGTTGTTGGTGAAGTGCACTTTGTTGGCGACGACAGGGTCGAGCCAGCCGCGAATGACCTTCCAGATGCCTGGGTGGGTGTTAGTACAAGTTCCGTAGGTCAAGTTTCAGTCAGAAACGGGTGAGGTTAGGAGGGCCTTGCCTTGGAAGATCCATGGGGCTTTGTGGACGAGCACGGTGCCCAGAGACTCGGGGTAGTTGGCCTCAAAGCACTTGATCATGAACTTGACAGGAGTGTAGTCCATGTTTGCTGTGGAAAAGCCGGTCATGTCGAAGACAATGGTCTATTGACGGTTAGCTGACGAGGCAAAAAACGACAACAACACATTGGAACAATAACTTACGGCTGTGTCAACTGGTGGCGACAGCACATAACGGCATGTCTCGATGAGCCACACCGTATACCTCTCTAACGCCTCTTCCGTCTCCTCGCCTGCCCTATGCTTTCTCACATTGACAAAGCATAGCGGCCGCCCTTGCTTGTCATGGCCATGCACGTAACTGATGCCCTTCCGGATTTGGCTCATGAAATCCTTCCCGAGCGTCTTCTCAGCAGAATCGGTAGCGCTCTTCTCAGCCACTACGGCGGCTCCCTCGCCGTTCAGCATGATGTCCGTGTCGACCTTGTAGTCCCGCGCCCGCCAGTCCATGGTCGCGATCATCATGATGAGTGCCCGCTCGACGTCCCACTTACGCGCCCTCAGGAAGCGCAGCAGTAGGGCGTCTGGATGGTCGTGCTTCACCATGCTCCAGATGGTGTCACGGATCAGCTGTGGTGACATGTTGGCTAGGGTCTCGTAGAATTGTTTCGTTTGGCCGTACTTGTCGCCATCTCCGTCCTTGCTTAGGCTGAGCACAATGGAAGGGTTTCCGGGAGCCCCTGGTGAGGTCGCCGGTGCCGGTTCGGCGTCCTTCTTTTTCCGGGAGAAGATGGAGAGGCGGCTTTTCTTCTCCTTCTTGGCTTCCTCTTCCTGGGCTGCCTTCTCGACAGTATCGGCCGCGCTGGCCGCCTCACTAGCGCCGTTTTGCTCCTGGCCGAAGGCACACACTTGCAAGACGAGTTGCCATAGCTGTCTGAGTTTGTCCTCCTGCTCGGTTGTCAGGTTTCCGGGACGACCCGGTGCTGTTTCTCCCGCCATCTCGCCGATTAGTTCGGGTGGCAACGACCGCTCCGTGCTTGGTATCACAGTGCCCCGCGGGTAGATAGTGTAACAGGCGGACAATAAAACTGCCGCGGCGAGGACAACAAAAAATCCCGACGAGGAGGCCTCCAATGGTCGGTTTGAGTTTGTGATGAAGTACTCGTTGAGGCGGTGCACACGTGACCTTCTACCGTTGGAGATATTTTGGGGAAGTAAGTTTGGAGAACCCGTCCGAGAGCGGATGAAACGAGGAATCCTGCGCGGAAGTGTAGAATGAACCGTCAGACAGCCAACAAAAACAGAAATCGGGCCAAGAGGGGGAGGAGATGCGTGCTGCAGCGCAACCCGTAGCGGCGCATGCATAAGGGGAAGAGCAAGGGCCAATCTTCTGGAAATGGATGAATATGTTGGTGTGATGGATGGAACGGCACGAAAAGGTCCAAAACCTGGGCGGCACTTGTACTTGTGCAGGGCGGGCTGCAATGACAGGTGTGACAGGACAGGCTATCCTCGACACGAGGTGTCAATGTGGAGGCACAAAGAGGCGGAAGCGTGGGTCATGCTGCGGGAGCTGGAACCCCAAGAAGTCAAGTCAGGAACAGCCCGGCAGGACGGTTTCACATCTTTCGGACTGAATCTGTTGGCTTAGCTAGAATCGAGGCTAGATTAATTCCTAGTTTTTACCGGTTCAGGACTACCGCGAAAAGCGACGAGTGAGATCCATGTAAAGGAATGCCCTAAACGGGACCGCCAGTCATCCAGTTCGAGTCGGATTTCCGGTTTGCCCTGAGGCTCGAAACCAAAAAATGTCCGGTCGGGCGGTACCACCAGTCCGGCCCGGGTTCGGGTTGATCGGTCAGTCCGCCTTGGGCCAAACGACAGTTTTTTTTCCTCCTCAGAACTCCCCGTTCCTTGTGCTATGCATGGAAACCACTGCAGGAAAGCCATCGCCGTTCCGGCTGGTCCGCAAGCCAGCACTGCATGAATAATAGCAAAATCGATCTCTCCACCTTCACTGGCGGTGGCCCTTTGAGACAGGTTTCATCAGCGCTGTTTGGTGGGGTTCCCAGCGATGTGCTGCGGGGCAGGTGCCAAGAGCCTTGTTTGGGAGCTCGTAAATGGAACCCAAACAAACAACACTTGAAGCAACCCAGCGTGATCACGACTTAACATCACCACCTCCTAATTCTTTGCACCAAACGGGAGAAGTCAGGAGCACAACTCTAAAGCATAACGGAGCAACCTAATTGACCAATGGATCACGACGAAACCCCTCACCGCCGTCAGCGCTCGACCTCGCGCTCGCGCCCAACCACACCCCTCCGACCCTCGTCCCGCTCTTCGTTGCGCGACTCGGCCCGTAACAGCGTGCACGGCGATGCTGCCTCATTCCCGCTGAATACGTTCGAGCCCGCCTTTGCCGAGCTTTCCGACGCCGTGGCCGACCTAGAGGCCAACATGATGCACTTCCAATTGATGCACGAGAGCTTGGCGAGGTTCAGCGAGAGCTTTGCGAGTTTCCTGTATGGGTTGAACATGAACGCTTTTTGTGTTGATTTCCCGGAGGTATAGTGGATCCGTGGACGGACTGAATTATGTGGTGGACGGCAGCATGTTGACTGAATACTCTTTTTGGCTGCAGGGCCCCTTGACGGAATCATTCCGGCGGATGAAAGTGAAGGAGGAGGAACAACAACAATCAAGTATGTTCCATTTTCTCGCTGCTCAATGAGAAAGAAGAAATGCTGACACAAATTTCGGCGCAGGCGCGACGAGGCTCACGGAACGGTCAGGCCCCGAGATCGATACCGAGGCAACATTTATGTACGGGATGCCCAAAAACAAAGTTTGTCCTAAACGGAAACTGACGCTGATATCAGGACTACCGATACATCCTTCGTCGAGAACCCCCCGTCTACCAAATCCTCCAGTAGATACCAGACACCAGCATCTAGTCGCCAATCTCGGGTGCCCGGGCCTGCCGCGTCCACCAGGGGAACGACATCCACCCGGGGATCAACAAGAGGCGGGCGCGGTGGGACCGGTACTCGGGGATCGCGTGGTAGCGGGCTGGCGAGGCCCAGGGGCCGTGGAATTCGATGAAGCGTCTCAGCGATACAAACTGGGTTGGAACAACACGCCGTATGCCGAGACCTGGAAAAAGTCCGGCGCGACCGGTTGGACAAGGGCCTGGTATGTTGGCTGGCCTCCCACTCTCCAGCCTCGGTACATTGCCTGCTTAGGATCTTATTTCCTTGGGCAACTCCGAGGATGCAGCCAAGTCGTCACCATCATACTGGCAACCCCCAGCGCAAAGACTACCTAACGCCTCCGCCCACCATTAAGCCGAGCCTCCTCTAGGTACTCAAGAACCCGTCGTAAGCATCTATCCTCGCCAGGCTCATCAATCCACCATCCTTGGGCCGTAAAGGTCTTGACGCGCGACTTGATCCCCCGGATGATCTGCACGTTGGACTCTCGCAGGTTGAGAGCCTAGCGAAGGTGAGAATGGGTAGGGCAAGGAAACGACCTGAATAAAGCGGACAGGCGGTAGGGGGTGAGGGACATATAACTCAACAGGCGTTACCAACCTCGGCCAAAACCTTGACCACAGCGTGGTTTGCTCTGCGTTCCCGCGCGGGGGCCGCGACGGAAATCTTGATAGCGGGTTCGGTGATGGCGATGATACCTTGGCGACTTGTAGGCGCTCCTGTTGTTATGTCGCAGCGGAGAAAAAGTGTGTTGCGGGCTGCTTGTTTGGCCGCGAGCTCATACCATATGGCGCGGGATGCCATTGTTGCAAGGGTGATGTATCTGGAAGGATGCAACCGTTCTGCTGGTTGGATGCGTTGCGTTTTCCGAAGTTCAGTGTTGAGGGTTAGGGTTAGGAACTACACTCATGACAATCACTGGCCAAAACTCGGCCGGACAACCTCATGCGTGGTGCTGAGGGAGCTTTCGGACTGTGAATTTTCTTCCTTCATATACTAGATGCTTGAATCACAAAGCCCACCCTCAAGAATAAGCTGAAGACTTAACACGCAAACGTTGGCCTGCTATGCGATACCTTTTTTTTCCCTTCTTCACACCCACGTCGGTCCCTAGCCACTAGATATTCAGACAGAGCCCAAAACGTTCTCGGCCAGCGAGACGCTAGTCCCGGTGTTGTCGGGCTCGACAGCAACCGACTTGACCTTGCCGTTCTCGACAACAATAGCGTAGCGCTTGGATCGGTCACCACCAAAGATGGCCGACCCATCAAACGCTAGGTCGAGTGCCTTGGTGAACTGCCCCGTCGGGTCGGCGAAGAAGCGGATCTAAGCACAGCCGTTAGCAAGTGTTGCTCCTCCTCCTCAGAGGGAACAAATATACAGATCAAAGCAATTACTCACCCCTTGATCCCCAGCCGGATCCAACGCGTCACCCCACGCCTTCATCCTATCACCCCCAATCCCCATCAGTCTCAGATCACAAACTCTCATTCCCTAGTAGTCATGCCATAACTCACACAAAAACATCATTAACTGAAACAACCCCCACCACATCAAACTCCTTCGTCTTCGGATGCTGCGCATACCCCGGCACATGCGTAGCCGAACACGCCGGCGAAAACGCCGCGGGAACCCCAATCAGCAGCATCTTGTTCACCCGTTCCGCTTCCTCGGCCAGGTTGACCCGCTGCCCGGGGGTCTTTTCCATCAGCGCATCGGTGTCGGGGAGCGGGTCGCCGGGCTTGATGAACATGGGGCGGGTGGTGTGGAAGGCGGCGGCGGAGGAGAGGCGGGTGACGGGGGCACGGCGGGAGGTGGCTGATGCCACGGAGGTGAGGGGTCGGAGGGTTGAGCGGAACATGGTGGGCGGGTTGTTGTCTTGACGGTTTTTTGTGTTGGGAATCGATTGGGTAGGGTCAATTGGGTGTTGGTAGTGGAAATGTATATGTGAGGCCCGGTTCTGTCGGTGAATTGAGTTGACTATCGGCGGGATATGGCGCTGGGGAAAGCGCAATCGGAGGCCGGAGCTCCGTTGAATTGAAAGCTCCGATGAGGTGACATCACGAATGGCAGGGGTAACACACGGCGGGGTTAGGGTTAGATGTACCAAGTTACCTCGAAAGCGTTAACAAGAAGACAACAAATGGAGTTCCGTGTTTGTATTTGGCAATCCCCTAGAAAAGTCGAATTAGTCTCAAAGTTATAATAATATCAAACTTATTATGAATTGTAAAAACACCGCCTGGGTACTATGAATAGGAAGCAAATGCACAAAGTCCTTTGATAATGTTGAATTTGAACTACTTGAGTTAATTACACAGCAATTCGCAAACTTCCTCAACGCATTGGTGAACTTGATGTGGTATATTTAAAACTATTTTCTTTTTCACACCGCAGATATATTGACACATCTAACACATGTGAATACGCCGGTGTGCATTCTGTACGAAAAACCAAGTAGCCAAGGTATTTGCAATATTTAGTGGAACCAGAAACTAGACAACTCAACCCCCACACTGCTCCCATTCTTATAGCATAGGCTTCAGGTCTTCCGCCACATGGAAGGGAGCTTCCGTTTTGGACTTGATCTCGTCCACAGTAACACCATCAGCAATTTCAATCAGCGTCAGGCCCTTCGCAAAGTCGACATCAAAGACACCCTATTTTTCCACACGCGATTAGTAACTTCTCCCTTTACAAAAGCGGACTAACGACGTTTGATGGGAAACCTACCAATTCCGTGATAATCCTGGACACACATGCCCTCCCAGTCAGCGGGAACGCGCACTGCTTCACAATCTTGGGATTCCCCTTCTTGTCGGTATGCTCCATCGTGACCACCACCTTTGTCTCGCTCGGATTGCTGACCAGATCCATGGCGCCGCCAAACCCCTTGACCTTCCCCGGCAGCATCCAGTTCGCCAGATCGCCCGTAGCGCTGACCTGCATAGCGCCGAGAATGGTCAAGTTGATGCGGCCGCTGCGAATCATGCCGAAGCTCTCCTCGGACCCGAAGACGGAGGCGCCGGGCCGGAGCGTGACGGTTTCCTTGCCGGCGTTGATTAGGTCGGCGTCTTCTTTCCCCTTGAGTGGGTAGGGCCCCAGCCCGAGGATGCCGTTCTCGCTTTGCAGCGTCACTTCGACGTCCTTGTCGACGAAACCCGGCGCGAGCATGGGCATCCCGATGCCGAGGTTGGCGTACATGCCGTTTTGGAATTCTTTAGCGGCGCGACGGACGATGAGTTCGCGCTTGGCCTTGGTGCCGCCGGTGCCTAGGGCGGTGGACGCCTTGGGGTCCTCAGGGGCGTCGGGGTCCTGGCTCCAGGTGAACTTCTCGATATTCTTCTCCGCTGTGCTTTGGATCACGCGCTTCACGTAGATGCCGGGGAGGTGGACAGCCTCGGGCGGGATCTCGCCAGGCTCGACAATGTGCTCGGCCTCGACGATGGTCAGCTTGGCGTTGCGGCCCATGGCGCCATTGAAGTTGTTGGCAGCCAGGCGGAACTGGCAGTTGCCGAGACGGTCGGCCTTGTACGCCTTGACGAACGCAACGTCGCCCGTGATCGAGTCTTCCAGCAAGTAGCTCTTGCCATTGAACACCTTGACATCCTTGGGGTACGAAAACTCGTCCGGGGTACCGTCCGGCTTGTTGCGTTTCGGCAACTCTCCCGTTTGTACGACCGTACCAAACGCAGCGGGGGTGTAAAAAGCAGGAATACCCTTCCCACCAGCCGCACATCGCTCAGCCAGCGTGCCCTGGGGACACAGCTCCAGCTCGACCTCGCCGGTCAAGTACATCGTCTCAAACGTCTTGTTCTCGCCAATGTAGGAAGCAATCATCTTCGAGATCTGCTTCGTGCGCAGCAGCTTGCCGAGACCGCTGTTGTCGGTGCCGGCATTGTTGGACACCGCCGTGAGGCCCTTGAGGTCAGGCCTCTTGAGCACCTCGTCGATTAGCGTGTCCGGAACACCGCACAGGCCGAAGCCGCCGCACAAGAGCGTCGAGTTGGGCTTCAAGTCCTTGATCGCTTCCTCGGCCGAGGGGTAGACTTTGTTGATGGCGCCGCGGAAAGCCGTGGCGGAAAACGCCCGCGCAAAGAGAGCGCCATGCTGTCGTTACCAAACACTGTTAGCTCCCGGTCGGCGACCTCAGAGGCAGGGCTGGAAACCCCTGGTCCAGATCCAAGTCCGCTCTCGCTCACATTCTGACCATATTTGGCGTACGCCCGTAGGGTCCGCATGCACATTGCCGTCGAGGGCATCTTGAAGGTGGACGGCAGGTTCGGGAATCAGGAAGCTCGTACTGGGTTTCGGATCGGAGACAGTTACGCAATGCGAAAAGCGACAACTCAGAGAATCACGCGGCAGCTAAATCAAGAACCGCTTGCTGTTGGCCGAGGTACTGAAACGGAGAACGGAAAGGTGACGCCGACAAGGAAACGCCACAGTCCAATGTCAAAACATCGAGCAGCTTAGCAGGGTGGGAGTAAAGTGAAAAAAAAGAAACTAAAACCTCAAATCCAAAAGAAGGTATCGCGGGGTCCTCAAACCCATCGCGCCTGCCATACCTTCTAATTAATAAGTTCCCAGCCCCACGTCAATCCCCGTCCATCCGCGGTTCGCTACAAAGTACGAACGCGGCAAGTCTAGCAAACGTAGCGAAAGCCGTACTCGGTTGCGGTTGTGCTGAGGGTCCAATGCCGGGATTGATTGATTGACTGCTTGAGAATCTCCCCATCCCACTATCCCGCGAATGGCCGACGGCAGTGCCGGCCTGGGTCCTGGCTTGTCCCGGGGAAAACTTCCCCGCCCTGCTCCCATCTTCGGAACAGGTGCTCGGCAGCGCGGGTGAGAATTGACCCATGGACTGCTTGGAACGTGAACCTTGGGGGAGGGTTGCTCGCTTTTTTGCGGGGTTAAACGCTGCGGGCGGAAAACGGCGGAGCAGACAAGGGGGCCAAGGAGAACAGGGGGGGCAAAACAATTGTCCCACGTGCCGCCTTTCCAGTGCGGAACAACAAGGACCTGAGTGACAAAAGACGGCCTTGGGCCGAGTCGGTGGGTGTCACGGGTTCCGCTTCACATGTTGCTTCGGGTCTGGTTGTTTGTTTGACGACTAATCATTTGCGAGGGGACGGAACAAACGGGCAACCTCAAGTTGAGTGTCTGTTTCTGATAGTTGAGAAGCTGGTTGCATATTCGTGAAAAGCGCTTAAAGCAAGCGTATGTCGGGAAGGTGCATGTGAAAACCCCCAAGATCCATCCCTGTCCCTTGACCGTTCCCATCTACCTGTGTATGTATGTATGTACATGTGCACGCAAAAAAAGGAGACGACGGTCTAGCAAAAGTCTGATGCTGTATCATGTCCCAGCCTGAATCCCAAAATTTGTTCCTTGTGATTTGATATGTAAGTAGCGTTCCCAGTCTTTGACTCTCAAGTGCTCGGGCCGCTGTTCGATGTTGAGTTCATGAATTCGATGTTGAAGGACCAAGCGCCTGGATCTAGTTAGCTTTCGAAGTTGCCGGGAGAAAGAAAGGGGAGAGGGGCAGATGACGTACCGTCTGCGAGGTTTTGAGCGGTATCATCGAGCAGAATGACCCTCCGCTTGTTACAGTACGAGGTCTTGTCCATGATTTCGACTTTGAGTTTTGGGTCGGCGAGCTCGGCAATCGGCTTTTCGAACATTTCGGATAGCGCCTCAACAGCCATCTCTAGATCTTTTTGGTTGTCCTCAAAGATCTCCGTCAGATTGTTACGCTTCAGGTAGAAGGCAAAGGCGTAGGTCCACATCAGGGTTTGGCGGCACATCTGGAGCGCTTGAGAGGCCGAGTTCAAGTACTGGACCTCGATCCAGGACATGCCCGATTCCTTTTGCAGCAGAACCATCTTCTTCTCCGTCTTGTGGTAAATATCCTTGTCGAGCCGTGCTGACTGTTCGTGGTTCGCGTATCGATTGTAGTAGTGCAGGTACCGCTCCAACGAGACCCGCGACTTCGCCTGCGCATCCCTCGCATCTGTGCCGCTCTTCTCTTCAAATCGGTTGCAGTTGTACCAGCTCGTGCCGTGTTCCGACCACAGACCCATGCACATCCAGCAGAACTCGTGCTTGCACTTGCGGCAAGTCATGTGGTTGCATCCACCATTCTTCTCGATAGTGCTGTTACACTTCGGGCATTCTTTGGTGTTGGCAGAGATCCAGTTCGCAGTCTCGGAATCGTCGGCGCACTTCTTGAGCCACTTCTTGACGAGCTGACACGGGGCTGGCTGATGGTCGTTCAATATACAACCAAAACAGAACCTGTACCCGCAAAGGCAGGCCACCGTGGGCACCACTTGGTCAAGATCCTTCTTCTTGACCCTGCATTCGACGGCGTTCTGGCAATCTGGAGCCGGACACCACTTGAGCGTCTCCTTGTCTTCCACGTATGTCCGGTGGAGCAGCTCGTGGTACCGCTCCGTCAGCTCGGAGGTGACAAGGAGGTCTAGTGATCGCGCATCGATGATCAGAGTGCAGCCTTCAGCGGGGCACTGAATGCGTGCTGCCTCGCCTTCGCCCTTAATTTTTTGCGAGAGGTATTGATGGTAGCAGTCCACACAATACCGGTGCCCACATTTCAGCGCAAACGACTGGAGCCCTGGCTCATCCTCGCAGCAGATATCGCAAGTGAAGCCCGGGATCGTTCGTAGCTTGGGTGGCCCTGCTGTGGTCTGAGCAAGTCCGGCAGCCTCCAGTACTTGACTGGGGCGGTCCATGTACTGCTCAATGAGCCGTTCTTTGTTCCACCTGAAATATCGGAGGAGGATCGCGGCCTCCTCCTTCGCAATAGTCAGGATCATGTTGACCTCGTCGATGAGTTCGTCTTGCTGCTTCTGCACATCTTGTGGCTGGAAGACTTTGTACGAGACGTCGAATGGTGTTTTCTTCCTCTGCCCGATATCCTTCTGCGAGTCGATGTAAACGTCGGGTTCGTCATCGAAGCCAAAGTCTAGTTAAGGGGAAATGGACCAGTCAGCGCTGCTACCCATGAAAGGGGACAAAGGAGATGCGAGTGCAAGGTATCCGGTAGGGCGGGTAGGACAAACCTTCGTCTCCAGAAACATCGTTGTCACTATCATCGGGAAGCATATCGTCCTCGCTGGAGAGGTTGGACATGAAGTCGTCGTCGGTATCCATGTTGCCGTTGGATCCGGCGGTCAGAGGGGTCGGCGGGGCCGTCTCGGGGCCGGCTGATGCGAGTATCCTCTTGTTAGGAGCGGTGACGGTAGAGGAGGATATCGTCGCCTCAGCGGCTTTCCGCTTGCGTGTTGTTGGGGGAATCGTGCCGGCTTATGTGGGCGGATCGGGTACGAGATCCCAGCGCCACCGGGTAAGACGGCGAAGGGAAGGGGGCGTGGTTTGGGAGCCCCTGGGGGATCAAACTGCAGGTGCTATGGTGGTGCTAGGGCGGTCCTCGTGTAGCCGGTCACGAGGCAATCGTCGGTGTTGGTACCGTTGGGATGGGCAAGTTGCGTGCTTCGGGGGGGAATGGAGCGAGGCCGGGAGCTTTGACGATTGTTGGGGCGTTCGGGCGGGGTGTAAGGGCAGACAGAGGATTTGGGCGGGATCTAGGTGAAAGAGTCCGATGGAGTGCCTGACGAGTGTGAAATGTTGAGGAGCCTTGGCCACGGGAAGGGAAAGGAAGATGGATCCGCCAAGCTCACGATGGGATGGACGTGAGGTGATTTAGGAGGTAATGAAGGGAAGGCGAGTTCGTTGTTGGAAGGAACAATAGCGGGAACAAGGCCCAAGGATGACCGGGCGGTCACCAAACGACCCCCGAGACAGCGATGCGCTGCGCAGGGCGAGAGATTATGTAACAGGGGCCATTTGGCCGCCCATTCTCGCCTGTTCGGCATCCACCAGCACTGCACAATGGGCGACATCAGCATCGCCCCCACTGACCACCTGGGAGGCCAGGGGCCAGTGCCAGGCAGCCAAACCGCCCCACAGTGCAGGCAAGGCTTTTTGCCCATTCGTGTTATTGTCGCGTGCACCCGCTCGACCCGCGCGCCCCACTTCCCAGAGCTGAGAAAAGCAACTCGCCCCATTCCGTTGTCCGTTAGAGGCACCTTCCGGCAGGCATTATTCGGGCGCTCAGCCTCTTTTTTGTTGTTTTTCATTGACGACGGTCCGCGCCAGTCGGCAACGCCGTTACTCCGAGTCACGCTGTGGCCACGGACCCGGCAACCCAATCCGTCACCGATTGTGTACATACAAACCGGAATTCCAGCCAAACAGATCGCCGGGAAATCAAACGGCGAAACGCAAAGGAGGGACCGAGCGGGAAACCACCAACATGAGCGATACGGCGGCAAGAAACGACGATGAAACGTCGCGCCGCAGGAAATATGACGATGGGGGCGACGAGGTCGGTGACGAGCGGAGGAAGCGATATCGGGACGACGGTTCTGGGAGACGCAGCAATCGGTCGCGGTCGCGGTCGCGGGACCGAGGGCAACGACGACGACGCTCCAGAACACCGGATTCGAGAGATCGGCGGTCTCGATCGCGAGAGCGGGAAAGGAGGAGGGACCGGGCACGGGACAGAGAGAAGGGGGGAGATCGTGATCGGGACCGCGACCGTGACCGAAACCGCGAACGACGGCATCGTGAAGACGACTCCGAGAGAAAGGAACGCCGGAGCCGTCGAAGCCCGGATAGCAGACGCCCACAGCTAGAATCAGGCCGCAACGCTGAGCGACCTCCTCGATCTGAACCTGGGCAGAGCCTCATCAAACGATCTGGCCCACTCCCGTCCCAGGACGACTCCTTTGCCATTAGCAAAGGCGAGGAACCCGAGAAGCCGATAGAGAAACCCAACTTTGGAAACTCCGGGTTGCTCGCGGCGGCCTCCAACTCGGTTACGCAAGCCGACGGGACAACCATCACACTTAAATACCACGAGCCGCCAGAAGCCAGGAAACCGCCGCCACGCGACGCATGGAAACTGTTTGTGTTCAAAGACCAGGACATCGTGGACACGATTGAGCTAGGCACGCGGAGCTGCTGGCTCGTTGGCAGAGAATTCTCGATCGTGGATCTTCCAGCAGAACACCCGAGCATCAGCAAGCAGCACGCGGTCATACAGTTCCGATATACGGAGAAGCGAAACGAGTTTGGCGACAAGATCGGGCGGGTGAAGCCGTACTTGATCGATCTGGAGAGCGCGAATGGCACGATGCTCAACGGCGACAAGGTACCGAATAGTCGGTATTTGGAGCTGCGAAACAAGGATATGGTCCAGTTTGGCTCCAGCACGCGGGAGTATGTCCTCATGTTACCTCCTAAGGAATGAGCGGAGTACAAAGACCAACAATAATACTATCATTTCCCCAACCATCACGGGGATACCAAGCGATCGCGGTCTTGTAGCCGTGCCGAGGTTGGCCAACTAGCGAGTCATTGGATTCGAAAGGTGACACTGCGTACTATTTATTCATGTGGTCACCTCCCGTCCCTTGCGTCCCCCGGAGGCTCTGGCTGAGTTTGCGCAACGGTTACTAGATCGACTTGCACAAACCGCCTCGCTGGATTAAACCGACGTCACCGGACAAAGCAAACGCCCCCTTTCGACCGGCTCGGCCCGGCCGCGAGCCCGTTCAACCCCGAAAAGCCTCCACGACTGAAAAGCCTCCGGGCCTCCAGGCGCGCTTTCCCAGATCGCCTGCCCATTTTGCGGGTGGGTGCAACCATTCCCAGATCTATCCTCCGGGAAAACTACCGAGACTTAACCCCGGCGATCATCCGAAAATGCTACCTCATGTTCGCAAGTTGGGTTGGTTGGGTTGCGTCCGAGGGAGGGTTCGATAAGTCACGCTTGAGGGCGCTGACAAGATTTTGAGTTGGAGGTGGGAAGTTATTTGATCAAGTGATGTCTGTAAACCCACTCTGGGGGGTCCGTAACAGACTGAGACAGAGCTCAGCAGATTCAGCAGGGCAGCATCGCAGCAATGAGAGTAGCATTTGCACTTGCGTGGATGTGGAAAGTGATGGGAGTAAATGTAGTCTCAGCATTGTGGTATCCGGCTGCCTCTTTGGTTTTTTTTTGTTTTCTTCCTTCCGGTCCCTCTCATCAGGTTGATAGGACTCTTGACTTGCGCGTGCGGTGCGAGGCAGTGAAGCTTGTCGCAACCGTCATGCCATGTGCCTGCGGCGATTCGGACGATCCCTCGAAACCGGCCAGTGATAGCGGCCCCACTGCGCCCCCGCCTCTTCCGCCCTGCGAACCGGAATCGAGCCCTGGAACTGCTTTCGAATGCCTACTCGATTTGTACCACAGTCCTTTATAAAAAACCCGGGCGTTCGGTGTCCATCCCCTACCGAGTCTAAAAGCTGCAACCTGCAAGGAGCCTTGGATGGCGTGGGCTCCGCCCCCCTTTTGCAGCCGCGTCCCGCGCCGTCCATTCCCGGTGAGCGTGAGCCGGGCGACCAACGGGTGGCTTTCTTTTCCTTTCCTTTCTCAGATCGGACACTACACTAGGAAGGGGGGCGATTCTGGGGAATCTGACAGCCCCCTGCCACACACCATCCACTCGGCGGCCGAGTTATGAGTTATTGGTGTGTGTGGTTTGGTCTCTTGACGGGAGTGTGCCCGGCATTTGAGACAAACAAATGCAACCCTCCCGGGGAAAAAGACGAGGGGTAAAAGGTACGGTACGCCCGAATCTGACCATTTGGAGGGGGGAAGTCGGCCAGACCAGGCCAAGCTCAGGTGAACGGCTTTTGACTTTCCATGCGCCGCACGCGCGTGACGAGGCTCTGGTCACTGATTCTCTTTGGCTGTTGCTCTGTTTCTCTCTGCCTGTCATTCTGCCTGTCTCTCCCTGTCTCTCCCTGTCTTTCCCTGTCTTTCCCTGTCTTTCCCTGTATCTGTCATTCGCCGCTGCTCCCCTGTTGTCCTCATCCCATCCACTGCCGCAGCGTTGCCTCCGTCCTGCAGATTGCTAAACGGCCCGCAGGCGGTGCGGCTGTCTCGGTAGAAAAGTGATAGGTACAGTACAGTACATTCCTGCTCATAGTATGTAGTCTACATAGGTACACACCTATTATTGTACATTCTGTACCCTCCTTCCTGGACACTAAGTAGCCCTGGATTACGGCGCGGAACTAGGACTGGGAGGGCTGGACGGGTAGATCAGCAGGGGTTGTCTGTCTGTCGTACGTCGACAGGTCAGTCAAAACCCAGCCTGGCGCCTCGATTTTCAAGTGTGGGAGAGGAAAAGGAGAGAAAAAGAGGACGGCTCAGGTCGTACATACCTACACATCGGTTTTTTGGTTCGTTTATTGGCGATTTCTAGTTTCCTTTTTTGCGAGAGAGTTGGTGATCGGTTATTGCGGCTGAGTTGAGCGCGCTGGGTGTATAAGAGGATTGCGCTCGGTAGCCAGAGTTACGACACGCACGGCAGAACGAAGCACAAAGGGGACGTCGACGTCTGGATTCGGGAATGGTTCACGACGAATTTTCGTTTCTTTCCACGGCCGCCTGCAGCTAGCAGATTAGACAATATGGTAGGTCGTGATTCCTTAACTCCTATTCTCTCAAAGGGTTTGTTGGTCGTACAGCGCGGCCCGGGCCGTTCAAGTTCCCGCCAACAGCCGTTGCCAAAGTGCCGTAACCAAGAATAAGACTAACAGCCCAGGCCACCCGCCGAGAACCCTCCCAACACGGCATCACAACAGTCTACCACCACCCGAAAGCCCAAGCCGACATTCTCTTCATCCACGGCCTCGGCGGCAACCCCGGTCGCACCTGGAAAGCAACCAGCAATGACGTCTTCTGGCCCACCGACCTGCTCCCAGCGTCCCTCGGCGACAACCTGCCCGTGAATATCCTCACCTATGGCTACAACGCCGAGGTGTTTTCCTGGTTCTGGGAGAAGCCGAAGCCGACGACGTCCACTGCCACGGGGAATGATGGTGATGATAACAGAACAGGTTCAGGGAAACCAAAACCCAAAAACCCCAGCACCGACCCCATCCACCAACACGCCCACACCCTCATCGCCCAACTCACCTCCCACCGCCAATCCCAAAACACCGCCCGCCTCCCGCTAATCTGGGTCGCCCACAGCCTCGGCGGTGTCCTCGCCAAACGCGCCCTCCTCTACTCCCACGAAGTCCTCACCGCACGCATGGCCGAGTACCGCTCCATTTTCATCTCAACCTACGCCATGATCTTCCTGGGCACCCCCCACGACGGGTCCGATTTGGCGACGCTGGGGCGGTGGGTGAGGGGTGGGCTGGGCACGGTGTTGCCGCGGCGGGTGTTTGATTCGGAGAGTGTGTTGCTGGGGACGTTGGTGCCCGGGGGGGAGGTGTTGGGGGAGATTTCGGATCGGTTTTTGGAGGTTTATCAGCGGTTTGAGATGCATATGGTGTGGGAGAATTGGAAGACTGATTTGGGGGTTACCAAGTATTTCCTCCCTGTCTACCTATCCAACGATTCATGACATAATATTGAGACCTGAGCTAATAACTATATCAGAGCCCTAATAGTCAAACGGCAATCCGCCGCCCCCCAGTTGCCCGGCGTCTTCCGGTACGGCATCGAGGCGACGCACTCGGGCATGTGCAAGTTTGATAGCGTGTCCGCGTCCGGGTATGGCACGCTGTCGACGGCGATGCGCAAGTGGGTGGGGGATGCGCCGTCAACGATTCTGGTGCGGTGGGCGCATGAGGATGAGGATCGAAGAAGGATAATTCAGAGGGAGGGGTTGGAACGGGTGGCTGCTGAATATGTATTCCCCCTTTTCCTTTGTAAGATGTGGATGTGGTTGTATGTTGATGCTGACTACTTGTAGCGCGCTGCCGGGCTGGATCCTCCCGAGCAACTGGCCTTTGGTATGATAGAAGTACACACCCGAATAAAAGATCAACAAAGCTAACGGTGTATAGTTCAAACCGACCCCCTCGACCCAACCCGCCCAATCCTCCAGTCCCCAACCTCAACCACCACCCCCCTACCACGCAGCAATAACCCAACACCGAGTAACCCCAGCAACGACCCCCCCTTCATCCACCCCACGACAATCCGCCCCAACGACTACACAGTCGGCCGCACCGCCGAACTACACCAACTGCACACCCTCCTGACCGACCCCCGCCGACGCGCCCACGGCACCGCCGCCGTGCTGATCCAATGCCTCACCGGCGGCGGCAAAACCCACCTCGCGCGAGAATATGTATTCCGCTACCGCGAGCACTACAAGGGGGGCGTCTTCTGGGTGCCGGCTGGGTCACGACGGGAGTTGGAGACCTGGTTTGGGTGGGTTGCCAAAGGCGTTGGCATCGATACCTCTGTCCCTGTCCAAGAAAAGAACGGGAGTTCCAGTTCTTCCGACACCAAAAAAAGTGGAAGCAGAAGCAGCACCCGCGACACCCCCCCCCTAGTCCACGCCGTCCGCCGCTGGCTCAACACCCACCCCCACTGGCTTCTCGTCCTCGACGACATCCACTTCGACACCCCCGGGCTCGCCGACTTCATCCCCGACGACGCACCCCCCAACACCAGCCTCCTCTACACCTCCACCGAACGCGCCGTCAAAGGCGACCAGCGCTTCCTGGGCAACCCATCCGTTCTCGAACTCGGACTCCTCCCCGCGGCCGAAGCGCAGCAGTTATTCCTTGAAATCGCTGCCCCGCGTCGGAGACCGTGGAGTGACGCCGAGAAGGAGCTGGTGAGGGAACTGGTGGAGTTGATGGGGAGACTACCGCTGATGGTGCAGTTTGCTGCGCAGCATGTGGCGCATACGGGGGAGCCGTTGGCTGGGTTTGTGAGGATGTATCGGCGGAAACCGGGGGCCAGGGCGCTGGAGCCGTATCGGATGTTGAGGAAGGGACTGGAGGAGAGGGGGGAGCATGCGGCGCTGAATTTGATGTGTTTGTTGGTGTTTTTTGGGGGGATGGTGCCGGTTGAGATGGTGGTTTTTGGTATTTTTCTCTTTTCTTTTACCCCTTTTTTCTTCCTCCCCCTCTTACATTCAGGCTACGTACTAAGACACAGATAGGCCTCCCCGGCCTGGACAAAGCAACCCCCATCAAAACCCGCGACGCCGCCCTCGGCACCACAACCCTCAACAACACCCTCAAAATCCTCAAACGCACCTCCCTCCTCGACCGCGCCGACAGCAGCCAGCCCCCCTCCCCAGCCTCCACCTCCCTCACCTCCAGCTTCGAGCGCCCTGCTCCCACAGCCACCACCGCCGGCGCAGCTGGTACCTCCGCCGGTACCGAATACCTGGACCTCCTCAGCATGCACAACGTAACCCGCGCCTATTTCATCGACTGGCTCCGCGAAAAGAAACAGATTCTCTTCTGGCTCAAGAATGCGATCACCCTCTGGAGCAGGGCGTATGATGAGGCGAGCCGCAGGATGAGGGAGGATCCCGTGGCGGTCGGTGTGGCGGATGATTATAGAAGGTTTGGCGTGCACGGGGAGAAGTTGTTGGCGAATTGGGAGATGTTTGCGAAGCGCCGACGGGAGGTGGGGGAGGTCAGGGGGGAGTTGGAAAGGAGGTTGGGGGAGATTCGGGGGTGTGTTGAGAGGTTGGCGGAGAGGGATTCCCAGGGGCATAATACCGAGTTGGATGAAGACAAAGGTAAAGGCAGAGTCCAGCCGGCGTCAGTGTTTGACCGGGTGAGTGCGTCTTCGCAGACGGACTCGTATGATAGTCAGCCGAGCGGGTTGGATTCGCCGTTGGACGGGCCGGAGTTTCCGGGGTTGGCGATAGGGGTGGATTTTGAGACGGGGTTTCGGCAACAACAGCAGCCACAAAGAGCTCTCCCGTACCCCGACAACCAGGTGATGCCGACAGCCCCCGAGTTTGGTGGCGAAGACATGGAGAATGAACGAGACGACGACCAGGACACGATGGTGCTGTCGACGACGGGCACACAGGTTCATGTCGGGGGGACAAATGCAGATGCCGACGAGGTTGGGTCTGTGATATCACGCCTGGCCGACCACCGCAACCCCCACGACACCCAGCAAGACGTCACAGCGATGGTAGAAGACTGGCAACGCGACCTCCCCCATCACCGCGTCGTCCAATGGCAGCGGCAATCTCAGCACAAACACAGAGTCCGGCTCCGGGCTGGCGGTTGGCAGGAGGAACATTCCAAGAGCGGGCCGTGGCTGGGATTGACGTACGACGATACCCTTGGGCTGTCGGTACAAAGGGACGAGGAGGCTCGACCGGAACTGCACGAGAGAACCCAGAGTGAGGCAGAGATGGATCTGAACCGGATCAAGATGGCCTCGAGCGTGGCTTCGTCGCCGCGGCTGGGGAGTGTTGGGTCGCCCACGGCGAGGGGGTCGTCTACTGCAAAAGGGTCATCCACAGCGAGAGGGTCGTGGGTTGGTGGGTTGGGGGTGTGGTCGCCTTGGGGGTCGATGAGGAAGAAACAGTCGCCCGTGGGAGGTGTCCCAGAAGAACTCCCAGCAGGACCACAGCAACAACACGCCCAAACACAAACCCCTGACCGACTCTCACCCCCTCAACCACAACCACAACAACCCCCCAACATCTTCCCAACTCCAAACCCATACCCACGCTCCACCAACTCCAGCCCAGGCCCCAACCCCCGCGCAACTGCTACAGCCTCACCCTTCCCCCCACCTTCTTTCTCCGGCATCCCAACCGACGACCTCCTCCCCTCTCGGCCCTCAGTCTCCGTCTCAGGCCAGCCCGGACAGCCAGGCCAGCAGCAGCCTGCGACAGGTGGTGGACCGGTAGTCGTCCGGCACTGGAACACATTCGTCTACCATCCACACGGCACACCCATCAGCAATACCTCGGGGGTAGACTGGTCGTCGTCGGATTGGTCGGGGTCGCCGGATCCGATGTCGTTGTCGTATCCGACTTTTCCGAGTTATCAGCGGTATCCGCCTGGGGACGGACCGGTTCCGGCTTCGTTTATCAGGGGGAATAGTGTTGTTGGTAATGCTGGTAATCCTCCGTTTCAGTCGTATCCTGTTCAACGGCAGCAACGACAGCAAGGGCAACCGCTCTCGTTTGACGACGCGCGGTATTACTACCCCAGTACCACTACCAATACCGCTACTGCTGGCCCAATTCCAGGTCAAAGCCCAGGTCCAGGTCCAGGCCCAGGCCCCGTACCAGGCTCAGGCTCAGGCTCACGCTCCCCCATCCGAGCCCAACGCATCCCAACAGCCAACGCCACGCGCCTCAAGAAACGCATGCCACTCTCCACCTCCCGGCCAGTCGTATCCTACACCATGACTGAGCCTGACCCCAGGCTGGAGCCGGTGCTTTCTGATGGCGAGGGGGAGATGGAAGAGGAGATGGTCGGGTTAGGGTTGCGGTCGGAGTTAGTCGCAGGGGCTGGCGCAGGGTTGGGGTTAGGGTTAGGGTCAGGGTATCCGTACCCTTATTCCCAACAACATCAACAGCATCACCTACCTCAACCTCGACCTCAATACCAATACCTACATCAGCAGCAGCAGCAGCAACACCCACAATACCCACAATACCAACACCCCCAACAGGTGTTGATTCCCCCCGCAGCAGGTGTCGGTGCATCCTTTCCCCCGACAACAGTTGGCCCTGCTGCAGTACTTCCATCTGCGTCTGGGCAGACCCAAGGACGGAGGAATGAAGGTCTATTTTCATGGCGGCGCAGGGGAAGTGTAAGGATTGCGCGGGGTGGAAGGAGGGGAACTACTAATCCCAGCAATGAGAATCATGACGATGAGACGGGTGGTTCGGGTCAGTTGCACGATACGAATCAGGGAAACGGAAACGGGAGAACGCCAGAAGCAGACCCACTGCTGCTAGATCCCGGGTTGAATATCACTGCCCCGTCTACGCCAGTGATGGGTTCACACAGCGTACCGGCATCACCTGCTGGGAGATCACACCGGTTTTCGTTCCCTTCTCCGTTTGGTTCCGCATCTGCTTCTGCATCTGCATCGACCCCCACAGGGAGACTCAGATCAGGCTCGGGTTCGCAATTGGGTTTGCGCGGCAATGGTGGTTGGGAGGGGGAGATGGAGGGGGTTGACCAGCCGCAGCATCAACAGCAGCAGCAGCAGCAGGCCTATCACCCTTCTCACGGCCCGTATCAACAACAACAGCAGCAGCAGCAGCAGCAGCAGCAGCAGCAACATCAACAAGAACCCC